GGGAATCGAACCTTAGCTTTCGGAGTGGCGCCTGAAAGGTGTAACTACCAGGCTACCCCACCGCCCCTAGTTCACAAGAATGTTGGACTTGACCGATGCCTTCGTTGGTATTTTTCGATAGCCTGATCCTGGAATGTTCTGAAACCTTTCGTCTTATATGTCGCTTGCGGTGGATATTGGTATCAGAGGTCAATGATCTTCAAAGTCCATGATGATAGAATCAAAGTACTAAGTGTGATCTCTTGCAGAGAGTATTATGTAATGATCTGCTTAAAAATGGTATCGAATAATGTATAATCTGAGAACGTTCAATAAATGTGGCCCAGAGGTGGCACACTGGGTATTTGTCTTCACGAAAACTGCGGTGGTTTATATTCATGTGGCATTTGCGGATAGGAAATTTGGGTAGACGTGGGCGGTCGAGTCAGAATACCTGCCCCGATTTACAAAATAAATACAGTAAACTACGGTTATAACGAACACGCTTATAACGAACTGCTGGATATAACGAACTGGTTTTTAGGTCCCTGCCATTTGCTGTATATCTGCTGTATATATGCTTATACGGTTATAACGAACGGTTATAACGAACTAGACTTTGTGACGTGGTCCATTTGAGTTCGCGATAACCGTAGTTTACTGTACAAGGGAAGTTTAACATTAACTTCAGGTATATCGATGATCTGACATAGTTCAGTGATGGTCAAATAGCCAATTCCCTTCCACTACTTCAGTTTACCCATCTGGTTCTAGATTTTCGAAACGATCATAAAATGGATAAATCTTTACAACTTACGTTCAAAGATAAGATACCTTAAGGTTAAGATAAGATAGATTTTCGAAATAATCGTAAACCTCTCACAGATCGTACAGAGCTATGATACCTATGGTAGTTCTGACAGAGAACTCATTTGTGTTGGAGATTGAAAAAGCGGGGTGTTTCAAATTGACGTCACGGGGATTTCCGAACCGCTGACAATAACAACATGGAGAAGTGATTCATGATCACATTGTCTGGTCATATTGTTTAACACGCAACTATTTGAGTGCAATTCTACATGTAGACGTTTTGTTCTTATGATAAAAGATGCCATGACAACCCGAACACAAATAACACTCGTGTGCTATGCAAAGACATTTTTCAAACACAAGAAATATTGTAATCAATATGTGTAGTGTTACCACACTATAGCTATTAGAATTGAAATAATGTGCAAAAAGATACTTCACTATTTTCCTCTCAAGTGGTCCTTTCGCGAGCGTGCCGAACTTTTCGGAAACCCACTGCGTACAAAGTCAAGGACGAAAGTAGGGAACGTTATTCTAAATGCCAATGATTAGACGAGACCTTTGATCGAACAGCAGGCGTTCAGCATTTAAGATGCGTGTTCAAGTAAGATGTTACGTGATGTATACTTGGTCTATCCAGCTCTACAAATTAACGCGAACATACATATAATGTAGTCCTTTACTAGTATCCTTTTGCATTAAGAAGAGCTAATAAACTGATTTGTCTGATGTCATTCAAATCTGACTGAGGAGCGAAATACATTGTAAATGTGTCAAATCTTTTCCAGAACGTAGTTCGATGATGTTTGGCTTGTCTGACAGCGCTGCTGAGTATCATTTACTAGTATTTATCCGTTGACCCTATACTTTACAAGGATTTTATTGTCTGAATGGTCTCAAGTATCTATATTTCTTGAAACATGAAACGGGTACAGATGTACACTTAAATATTAAAAAGGCCAAAATCAATTATTATTTTAAAATAGGTTTATTGAATGCAAAATATAACCACGGAACTTTGCGCTCTATGAAAACTGAAACATTGAACTAAGTCTCGGACGGACGAATACAAAGGAAAACGTCTCTCAAATAGAGTATGAACCAAGATTAGCTGCCCCTGAGTTATCAGTAAGGTCACGGTCATTACTATAGCCTTCCGTTTCAATCCTTCCCAAATTATCGAAAAGGTACGTTGTTTCACACTTCTTCAGCATGAACTTGGATAGAAATATATTTTAAGCTCTCGACTCCATAGTTATGTAGATCGCTGTCGCGATTAAGAATATTTCTGACGTCAAATAATTTATGCGATCTTCCTGTTTTCGAAGTGTCAATTTGAATCACACTGTTTAACAAAATGAAATGTCAATGTTTGAACGTAAAGCAGACTAATTGTTTGGCAAAATATCTATGGCAAAGTATGCCGCCATCTTGGATGAAGATAAAATAAACTTACGACAGGTATGGGGCTATCTTAGATTTACGACAAACTTAAGACATCTTCGGGCTACGACAGTTTCGAAAACAGGCAACGATAGCCTACGATTTCCTTACGATAACTTTACGATAATTTTAGGGCTACGATCGTTTCGAAAATCTAGGCCCTGAGCTGGAAATAAACCGCCTCATGTGTTTCATATGAGATTTAATATTCAAATTATTCGAATAGATTCAAATTTGCAACTTTCCCTTTACGTCGAACAATATTCCGGCAGCTGCAACCTTTGGTGTCTACATTTGAGGTACAGTCGAGCATTATAATTTTACGACAAATGTAGTTTGACTACTTTCAAGACCTTAGAAAACTTTCTAAGGGTTTTATCGTAGTCGGTCAGACGACATTTCCAAACTTGAAGGTTCAGTGACAAAAATGATATCTGATGCAAATCCCATTTTTCACTTGTACCACATGTTCCGGTGTTTTCAGGTGAACAATTAACTTGCATTTGTTTGTTTTGTGACGAGGGACATATTTTCGCGGACATCTTTTCGGTTGTTCCTACTATTGTACGTTGTAGCCTGTGGGTACGATCGTGTCCTCGTTATGGTACGTATATATATATATGACTCACTATCAAATAGTGATGACAACAGGTGTTTGAGGAAGGGTGTCACAAGCACATTTTTGACAGTTGAGAAAAGGTTGTCACATCAATAAATTATATTAAAGCCTGTCTTTTAGTCCTCTTACAATACATACATCTATTTGGTGAAATTGTTTGATTTGATTTAATCTGTTAAGCCAAACAATGTCAAGTGTAGTGTTTCATTCCCTCCTTAATCATAGGAAGTGTGAAGTACCCCGTTTTGGACATAGCGTCTGGTGCTTGTACTTGTTCATAGTGAATCTTTAAATACCACATAACTTACACTGTATCGATACATCAGCAGTTTGTTTTCGTGTGGACTGGACATAACGGCCCTCGAATAAATTATTAATCTTAACAGTGACAGGTCAGGATAGGGGAATCGTTAAGAGATGAATAATTAACAAAGCCATTAGAATAAATAGGTTAAAGGTTGCCACATTTATGAGCAGTATTTATACTGTATGAATACAGTTTGTAAAGACATGCTATTTCATGATACGTAGGTCGTCAGGTTAAGATTGTTGAGGACATGATGCGAAGTGCATGTTTTCTTCCGCTTCTTTCACCTGTTATATTCATAGTGGTGGCAACTGGTAGCAATAGTTATGATCCAGTTGGAGTGATGATGTGTAAACAAAGGTGTCAAGGAATCATCGGATGCGTCAGGATCGATTACGTTTTGAAGTACCTGCAATGTTATTTGCTTCCGGGACGGTCTTTCAGCTCAAGAATACCACATGCCACAAGGTTGGACGTAAAAGTCGTAAGTGAGTGAGTGAGTGAGTGAGTGAGGTTTTACGCGGCTTTTAGCAATATTCCAGCAATATCACGGCGGGGGACACCAGAAATGGGCTGACTCATTGTACCCATGTCGGGAATCGACCCCGGGTCTTCGGCGTGACGAGCTAACGCTTTAACCACTAGGCTACCCGACCGCCCCCAAAAGTCGTAAGTGATACATTTGCTAATTTAGCTGACATTTGATCGAATGACTAGTCTCTTCCAAATGCTGACTACGACATTCAATAGATAGCTTCTGTGACATTGAGGTACACGATATATGCTCTGCTTACCCTGATGAGTGAGTGTAGAAATTGAATCTTAACGTGACGAGCCTACCCGTTACACCATAAGTTAAATTCAAACATCACACGCACTGTATTTATCTCTGTTCGTGTTTTGGCAATTGTCACACAACCCTGGAAATAATAAAGCGACAAAACCATTGCCATATTCATAAGAAATCTCTGCTTAAAGACGAGTCGGTTGTACGAATCTGACTACTTCATGAGCAGATGCTTGTGAATCACCACCAAACAGTGATGACACCAGGTGTTCCCGAAACCGCTGCAAACACATGCCAAGGTTCACTAAGACAAACACGGGAACATCTGTTAGAAGTTAAATTATGGAACTGCATCGGAAACAGTTTTGGTAATGGATGCATCAATTTGACCGAATGTCAGGACCTAAAAGGTCGTGAAACGTTGCTAAGACCTTGAATGCTGTAGCCCTGATCAAACTTTTGAGTCGTTTGGCGCTCTGTCAATCTCATTAAAATCAGATCTTAGTTCTCGCTACCGCTAAACAAAGATCTGAAGACATCCCATTAGGGGTCACGTCAGAACGACCTTTCATCCGACCAATCAGAACGTCGCTTACCAGATCATGAAAGTGACAGTCGGAATGTGATTTCTAATCATACAACCTCGAAAACTTTAAGACGGGGTATTCCGAACGATAGGTACGGGTTTAACGACTGAATCCATACAATCTAGACCATCTATTAGCCATTCCAGGATGTTCTTTTGTTTAGGTTTCAAATTTGTAATCGAGAATTTGTGAAAATTATGTTTCGAAGCGAAGTCGCCAATTTGAAATTAGTTCCGTAAAGCACGAGAAAGCTGCCTTCTGATTGGTCATTCCATCGGTCGGTCAAAGTTCGCGAAAGGTCGGTCTGACGTGACCCGTAATAGGAAGTCCTCAGATCTTTGTTTAGCGGTAGCGAGAACTAAGGTCTGGTTTTAATGAGACTGGGCGCTCTGTTAAATCGGGATATGTTTGAATATATCCGACATAAAGGGAAAGTTAACGTCAGACCTCTTCTCTACCATCAGGCATCAGGTGACAGAACCGTGGAATGTCCTCTAATGTTCAAGTGGATGTTTACACGGAAGGCATCTTACACTTGCGTGGATCCGGGTACTGCGTCCGCGAAGACAAACAGGGATTCGTTCGGTGGTAAGTGATAGGTATGGGTAGTCGTTTCTCCATTGTGTGATGAATAACAAATGTGTAATCCCGAGACAGGGGGTAGTCATCATCACTGAGGACGGTCGGGTAGCCTAGTGGTTAAAGCGTTCGCTCGTCACGCCGAAAACCCGGGTTAAATTCCCGACATGGGTACAATGTGTGAAGATTGCTAAAAGAAGCGTAAAACCACACTCACTCACTCACTCACTGAAGCAATGAAACGCCACAATAAACGCTAAATACACATTATATTCATTTACCAAATAATGAACACAAAATTGTTAAAAAGGCAAATTACAATTTATAAATCAAATGTAGCAAATAATTAAAATAGACACATCTGGCATTATTCATAATTGCGACAAAAGGCCGCAGATTTGATATAAATAGTATAGTATAGCAGGAAGTAATGCAGCAAACAGAATGTCTAGAAATGTGTAAAACCTTGTTCACACCCCAATCACGGTCTACAATGCTTTTCAGTTAGACATTGGATATAGCTATCTGGGAGGTAATCAAGCAATATGATCACAGACAGAGAGGAAGGAATGGTGGGTGTTCTCTGCTCTAATGGTGACAATAGCAATCTTCGTCAGTTATTAACAAATATGAACCAAAATACCATAAACACCCTGCTATCAGCTTGGCTCCTAACTTTAATATAATAATTATAATGCGGTCGATGCGTATGCTACAAAACTGACCCAATGGAGTATTTCCGAATGTGTTAAGTCTGTATTAGATACTGTCATTGTAGAATGCATAAACGTAAACAGATGAAATAGAATTGGAATACATCCAATCTGTCCCAGCAAGCGCCTGGCTACCCGACATAAGCAGTTTGTATTTTGTTCCCGCTTACAAGACCTCAGTTAACATATAAATCCACGTTTCAGTGAAAGAAGCAACACCCCTGTGAACCATACTGTTTAAATTGGCGATGGCACTTGCCTATGTTTAATTTAATTTTAATTAACATAATGGTGACCTTTGCTGCAGAGCTTTTTCGACAAAATATATTTGCTGATACTCCCAAATCTAGTTGATACACCGTGATATAACTGAGATATACTCGCTCACTCATTCACTCTTTATTGCGTTTGTTGTTAAACACAGCACTCAGCAATATTCCAGCTATATGAAAGCGGTCTGTAAATAATCGAGTCTGGACCAGACAATCCAGTGATTGAAATCATGAGCATCGATCCACGCAATCGGGATCGATGACATGCATCAACCATGTCAGCGAACCTGACCACCCGATCCCGTTAGTCGCCCCTTACGACAAGCATAGTCGCCTTTTACGGAAAAACAGGGTTTGCTGAAGACCTATTCTATCCCGGGTCTTCACGGGTCTCTCATTATTGCTGATAATGTTTAAAAGAAACTCGTATTTCTAGCCTAACATTCCTGACTATACCCCGTATATGCTTCTCCTTCTGTAATATGAATAAATATTGATTCACAGGAGACGCATCAACCCGAAGCGAAGCTACACCAAGACCAAAGATGGCACTATCAGGTTTGTAAGCTTATAAATACATTTTTTAAGAAAAAGATCAGTAATAATGAGTGAGTGATTGAGTTAGCGAGTATATTTCAGTTATGTCATGGTGTACCTACTAGACTTGGGTGTATCAGCAATTCATATTTTGTCAAGAAAGCCCGGCAGAAAAGTACACTGTCACCATTATGTCAATTAAAATTCAGTTAAATTTGCACGTAGGCCCGTTCCATAGCCACCCTCAACAGTATTTGCTCACAGATTACATATATCAGGCAGGACAGCCGATCAGTATTGACAGAGTCAACTTGGCTACCAGTCCCAATATATAGCTATAGAGAATCTCACCAGAGTGTCTTTCGATATCAAATATATCAACACGAGCTGATAAAAGTGGGAAAACTCCGAGGCTTGCCGAGGATCTTTTCCACTTTTATCAACAACTGTTGATATATTTGATATCAAAAGACACGAGGGTGAGATTTTATTTATCATCCAACATCATTCTTCCAACTTTTTCAGGTTGTTGACAGTAATAAGCAGTGTCTTAAGTGTAAAACGTACTGCTAACAGCCATTAGTGATGTCCTTTGATTGTGACATCATGGTAACCAATGATGTCACAATGGTTTTCAAAAGATTGTGATGCAATTTCATTGCAGCAATATCTACAGTGTAGATATCGCTTGATCTCACCCAAGTGATAGCTCCTGTCGGAGCCAGTTTTGGATGATAAATTTTGATCGTCTATTTGACTTAAGACGCTGTACCTGTAGATACTAGTATCGCTGTGTACGTGATATTGTAAACCATGTGGATTTTCGAGGCAGTTTAATGTATTTTTATTGTAAACCCCTGTTTCAATGGAAGCACCCTTTCAGCTTAGTATAGAGCAACAGTAAAGAAGCCAGCATCTGGCATATCAAGTAAGGGCGAGAAACAGTTTTTTAAACAATAGAGCCTGAAATGATTCAGAAGTCTTGAGTGAGTGAGTGAGTTTTACGCCGCTTTTAGCAATATTCCAGCAAGATCATGGCAGGGGACACCAGAAATGGGCTTCACACATTGTACCCATGTTGGGATTCGAACCCGGGTCTTCGGTGTGACGAGCGAACGCTTTAACCACTAGGCTACCCGACCGCTCATTTTTATTAACAACTGAGCGTTTTAGTAATATTTGATACATTTATAACTACATGTGAAGTCTTGAGAAGAAAATACTTCAATGAATAAAATATTGTTTACTGTAAGCCTGCGTGTCATGTCACTGATTACATGTCACGTTGAACAGTATTTCAGTTTTGTCCTGGTCTTTTAATGTTGAAAATCAACTCCTTTGCCATGTTTAGCACGATATGATGCTCATAGAAAGGGTCAGCATTTGGATTTGAACCACAATCAGTGTCAATTTACTCCTCGTGACAAGCTGTCCGCACTGTGATTTTATAGTTCATTCACTTTGTAAGACGAGCAGCATGCTCGTATCCAGTCCAACATGACGTATCCCCGTCGGCATTCTAAGGTCGGGAGCTGTTACAAATATCCAGTTATGTTTGTTTGTTTGTTCTTTAACGCCGTACTCAGCAATATTCCAGCTACATGACGACAGTCTGTTAATAATCGAGTCTGGACCAGACAATCCAGTGATTGAAATCATGAACATCGATCCATGCAATTGGGAAACGATGACATGTATCAACCAAGTCAGCGATCCTGACCATCCGATCCCGTTAGTCTCCTCTTACGACAAGCATAGTCGCCTTTTACGGCAAGCATGGGTTGCTGAAGACCTTTTCTACCCCGGATCTTCACGGGTGTACAGATGTCCACTGCTTATAAGCACAGACTAACGAGGCCCGGGAGATTACAATGTGTCATCCCGCCCCGCAAACGTGGATCATTCCTCGGGCTGTTCACCATTGGTGCACATGGTTCAGTTTCAGTTATTATTTGCTGACCTCGGCATAAAGTAATATTCACTCATTGACTATGACAATATAAAGGCAGTCGAATGCATATGAATAAAGTCATATAGCTTGTTGGTGTTCAGTCAGTTCTTCATCCGGGGGAACGGTTGGCCCAGTCGTCTGAGGCGCCGCGATTCGCTGTGCATAGTTGCGTCCCTTGGGCACGCCAGAAACCTATGATTGTGGGTTCACCCCGATTATGTTCCTAGGTTTGTCAGCACCATACCCGTGCTCGTGGGTTTCACCGAAGTGGTAAACGTCTGAGACCTGCATCACTTCGAGATTTCCTCCCACGTCAAGCTGACACGCCGTGATATAACTTGAATACTTTTAAAAACGGCGTTAAACACATCTCAGTCACTCACTCACTCACTCAGTTCTTCATCCCATCAGCATCATGCCTTTCAGGGAAACAAAGACTACTGACTGTGACTACCAGCCACATGTACAGTATCTCAATTTCGACGAGCAAACTCTTCGTCCTTGAGCTGGACTCTGACAAGTGGCAGCCCGCTGGTCAGTTCCAAGGGTACGTTGTTGCCATGGACTACTCCGAAAATGTTCTCTATCTCTGCCAGAAGAATCCTGGTGGATTATTTACGACACATGTTCAAGTTGGACGCAATCAAGAGAAGCCGGAGAAAATAATTGACGGTAGGTGTTTACGAAGTAAAATGTTATCTCGATTTTTCTCCATATACTTGTCTTTTGTTTCTGTTGGCGCCCACTGTACACAGTTTCCTCGCTGTTGCTAAGAAGGTAAATGTTTTTTTTTTATAAAGGCACTACGTTGCAAATTTTCAGCGAACTGTTTTTAACGTGACACCCAAATGTGTTCGGGCTGATGCAAAGATCTTAACTCTAATATGCAGAATTGTACCGTAAATGATCTTACAAGAGGACAAGGTGACTGACGACCTATGATCTACCAGCAAACATGCCTGTTATAATAAGTGTTGTTTAGTAGCTGGCAACACCCGGTACAGCAGGATGTAGATAAGGATGTGGATAAGGATGTGGCCGGGAACCTTATGTCTTGAAAACTAAAATAGTAATTACTTCCTCTCATTTGTGATTATAGAATATGGGCTTGGGTCACCGATTTCTCTGAATATAACGACTTGCAATCATTCAAATATTTCTTGTACCCGCAAAAAGTATATCACGCGTTGGATGTTCCTCTAATGTTATATTTAAAAATATGTAAAAATTTAAGTATATTGACAAAACATCATCTCACTGACACTCAAATAATACACAACAAGGGATAGTCACTCCGTCTTATTACTGAAGACTATGTTAAATCCCAATATGTATGTACGTATGTGTGTGTGTGTGTGTGTGTGTGTGTGTGTGTGTGTGTGTGTGTGTGTGTAAAAACCCCTCAACGCAAAACCGTTATATAACATAGCGCTTGTGTATCCGTCTAGATATCTGACTGTAAGATCTAGACGAGAACAGTCTGTGGAGAAATGCTATAGACCAAAATACTTTTCTACTACTGTAGTTAGACTTCATCGCTTTGAGGCAATGCCAAAAGAATAAAAAGAATGCATTTGTGTATGATATCGTAAAGCAGGCTTTAATGTCATATAAAAAAATAAACATAAAAAAGAACTATCTTGTTTGAATAAAACTTTGATTGAATTGATGTTTTTTTAAAAAATTTGTTGACAAGACATAAAAACCTGTTTTATGATATCATCCACATATACGGCTAGGTTGATCACGTGCCCCGATTATAAACACATCAGCATCCCCAAAGCCTGTTCAGATGCAACACAACGAACGAGTACTAGTCTTGGAGAACCGATCATAATGTCTTTAGAAAGATACATGTATGCACACGCTCGTGCCTGTACATTCCTAGCTATTCATTCAAATTATGAAAAGAATGAATCATTTTATTATATTGTTTGTATCTGAACGATTTCTGTATTCTGATTTTTGTTTGTTTTGATTCCTTTACTTGCCTTTGCATGTGTTTATGCCACGGTTGACCATTTAAACATATCGCGAGCACCTGGTATCATCATTAATTGATTGTGATCCATGTGATTCTGATTGGGAACACATCTTGTGATACAGTTAGAATCGTACACTGGACTCTGCGTGTAACATAATTTCCTATAATTATGGAAATTCTTTTGTCGCTTGTTTTAACGAAATCAGTAAATGCACCATCGTGTCTGGTTCCTTGCATGGAAGGAGTACTGCTGTATGACGTCAGGCAATTTAAAGTTACTTTTTTTTGCAAATTGTGTGAATGGCGGCTGCAAAGACCTGGTGTCATCACTGATTTTCAGTTGTCCATTCATAACATATTTGCAACTATTTTTCCCGTTACGCCAAACTTTAATCTGTTTCGGCGGATCATTTAGACTAACTTCTAATTTCTATTTTCTTAATAGGGGCATGTACAAGCGTGGCTGTGGACCCTGTTGTGGTTCGAGCTTTTTTCATCAACTCCTCGGGGCTGTGGTCTTACAACCTTGTTAGTAAAATAATCACGAAACTCCCAGTCGCTCTCCGAGGAAGGGCGAATAGAATTCGGGTCATCGTTGAAACAAGGGAACAGTAAGTATCTGAACCTCTGAAAACTTCGCAGATCACCAAATTGATTGTAGTGATAACAATGACCGCCCGGGCCAAGTCGGACTCAACACAAGCGAAACACTTCTGATAGAGACTATGTTGAGAATGTAGAGTGAAAAAGGCTTCACTTTGAGCTCTGTGTTTTCTTTAACTACTGAAATATGACACAATAAAGTGGTTTTATTATAATACTAGTCTTTAGATATAAATAATGTTAGGAACTTTAGAAGTGCTTGGACAGTTATTAACACGTGTCCTGTCAGTCTTTTGACATTCGCGAATATCCACTTCCAGAAAACATCCTGTGTTGGTTTAACACGAATTACTAAAGGTTAATTACCTTAACACGTTAATTAATGAAAGAAGAGTAGTCAAAACACTGTCGTTTCCTGCCCAGGACATCACATCCCTACACGCTTAAGGTCGGTGAGAAACATTCTAATCAAATAATACACACAGTCAAGACACTGACTTTTCTACGAGACTCACGGTATGTAGTCATAATCATCAGTTAATTACATTGTTGAAGGTGCATTTTTATTCAAACTCAATTAAATGAGCAAAACTATACGTTTGTAGACATTTGAGATCTGCCTAGATATGCGCGTTTCGTTTTATTATTCTGCAATTACCCGCTGGCCCGGCCCGGCCCGACTTTTCTTGGCCCGACTTTTAGGCAATCCCGTCATGGGACATGTGAACCAGTAGTCTAAGGCACACTGTCTATATAGATGTGTATGTTTTATTCGCACCATATGTGCTTGTGCCCTGTTGGGTATCGGGGGCTCCCAGCATCCGAAGATTGTAACAAGAGGCAGACCCAGGAAAATCCGGGTTAGGCTCGGTCTTCAGCAACTTATTCTTGTTGTAAGAGGCGACTAACGGGATCGGGTGGTCAGGCTCGCTGGTTGGTTGATGCATGTCATCGTATCCCATGCATCAACCAACCAGCGAGCCTGACCACCCGATCCCGTTAGTCGCCTCTTACAACAAGCATAGGTCATCGTATCCCGACCCGTGAAGATTCCGGGGTAGAATAGGTCTTCAAAAACCCATGCTTGGCGTAAAAGGTGACTATGCTTGGCGTAAAAGGCGACTAACTGGATCGGGTGGTCAGACTCGCTGGTTGGTTGATGCATGTCATCGTATCCCAATTCCTTAAATCGATGCTCATTTTGTCAAGCTCTGTACTGTCTGGCCCAGACTTGTTAATTACAGACAACCGTCATACAGCTGGAATATTGCTGAGTGTGGCGTTAAACAACAAACAAACATCAAGAGAACTAAATGGATCATGTGGTCAGTCAGGGTCGTTTGATTGTCTGCCTGGTGGCGTTGGGCGGTACTCATGATATCCGTCACTGGTTTATTTGTGTTCGTGGTTTGACCAACATGGATGTCTTCGACCTGCATCACTTTGGGCTGTCCTATATAATGTAGTGATAAAACGGAAAACTGTTCAGCGATTCGTTGCTCCATCTCACTCCCACTCGACATGATCCGTGAAGACCCGTGGTAGAGTAAGTCTTCAGCAACCCATGCTTGCCGTAAAAGGCGACTAACGGGATCGGATGGTCAGGATCATGATGTCAATCACTGGAATGTCTGGTCCAGACTCGATTATTTACAGACCGCCGTCTTATAGCTGGACTATTGCTGAGTACGGCGTTAAACAACAAATAAACAAACAAACACAAAACGACATCTTTTGTACACCTACAAGCGAAGTATTTGCATCATAGAACCATTATTCTCATGCCAGTGTTGTCTACGTTTATGGCCGGTACAAGAGGGACATCAGGAAGTATGACCATTCTGGGAAGTTTCTGACGTCATTCTCCATTGAATATCCTGTCAGGGACGTTGTCATTTACTCTGGACAGTCACGTGAGTTGTGGTCGTTGGCATACCATACAGTGCATTTTTTCTAAAAAAACCCACCCAAACATTTCTTTGCTGAGGTTTGTTAGAACATATATAAACACCTCCTAAATTCGTTATGTGGTATGGTTGTCACTTGCTGAGTGGTTGACTGCCTGAGTGGTGCACACGACTAGGAATGAAGGTGAGGTGAAATGAGGTTAAACGTCGCGTTCACGATAACTTATATAGCGACGTGCGTGCGTGCGTGCGTGCGTGCGTGCTAGTCCAGACTAATGCCAGTCCACTGAGATGCCATGTTGCAGTGTACCATGGATACCCCACTAAGACACACTATACTGACTCCGAGTCGACCAGTCCGTGTTTTAGCCCTTTAATATGCCGTGCGCCAGGCAGGGTAACAACAAGAACCATCTTTTAACTGTCTTTTGGTATGACGCAAACGGTGAAGGAACCCCCGACCTTCCTGCTCCACTAGACCGAGGAGGCGGTAAGGCATGATTGATTGTGACGTAGATGTTATATATATTTACCAAAGCCTACTGGCACGGGTTCGTAATACAAAAACGCACCAAAATATGAATCTAAAATATGATGTCAAATGATGTCGATTTTTTGTACTGTACGTTTTTGACAAAACATTCTTTATGCAAAGAAATATTCTAATATTACAATTTATGTTAAAGAAAATAATTACAGCAAAATCAAACGATACATGTTTTTCAGATTCCAGTCTGTATTGTACATACACTGTGTCACCGTCGGTGGTAAATAGATACTCACTCCCAGGATGGGCGAGGACAACTGACTTCAAACTCACTGATACACACAGATGGAAATTAATCTCCAGTCTAGCAGTCACAGATAACAAGATCTTTTTAACATATGGCAGGTGAATATATCATGCTAATGTAAAGAAAAAAAACCCTTCAATTAACTCGATGTCCTCTGTACAATCGAAAAATACCCATGGTTCCATATTTCGCGTGAAGCCACTTTGACAATAAGAGTACCGATTATATCGAGTTAAAAAGATGATTTTCTGAGTTTTTAAAAATTCACAAACAATTACAAAACATTAGTGATATACAGGTCCTGGGACGGGGGATATGGGCATTGACAGTGGTCGTGTCCGGGTCTGGAAAGAAAGACCATTTTTTCAGGAAGAGCTTCCATATTCTTCTCTGAAATGTGGAGTGAATGCGTGGGTAAGTGGGTGTTTGTGAGTGAGTGAGTGAGTGAGTGAGTGAGTGAGTGAGTGAGTGAGTGAGGGGTACATAGGTTCTTGTGAGTAAGTGAGTGTATGAATGAGTGGGTAAATGGGTGTTTGTGAGTAAGTGAGTGGGTAAGTGGGTGTTTGTGAGTGAAAGAGTGAGTGAGTGAGTGAGCGAATGCCCGATTTCGCTGAACAGGTACCCACGTCAGTAATTAGATGGAAGTTCATGGACATTCTCAGAATGGACAGAACAAAGGGGGCATTTATTGCAGGCAGAGAAAGATAATATGTATTAAAATTAAAAGCCAATGTCAGAATTGTTATCATAAGATTATGCGTATGATTCATGTCTTTTTTCGTTTTAGGTTTTTACGGGTTCTGGATAGCAAGACGCTTCGTGAAAATTCAACACTAGTGTTTGAGACATTTGGGGAATCGTTCAGAAATCTTCTAGTCATTGAAGGGCAAAACGTAATCCATTAAGCAAAAATGATAAGATCTGGACTATTTTTGATGCAATTATCATATCGTTCTTAGTAAGTAGAGTCGAAGTTTTGATCTCATTGAAATAGAAGGCAAAACGTCACCTTTTCGGAATATGTCGTTTTCTTCTCTCCGATTATATGTGAGACTTTGTTTTTCTGAAACATAAAAAAAACAATTAGAAACGCCAAAATATACGACAAAGATAAAAATATGTTTGTGGTGAAACTTGAAGAGTGACTAAAAGCCAAACTCTAAATACCTAAATACATATGTACATGTCATGCTCAATGCCCCTAATCAATGGTTTCATAACACAGATAGTACATAAGCGTGTATAAGTTCTTTTTTTGTCCCTTTGATAATGCATAACTCATGAGACGGAAACCCCGGGTTAAGCGTGATTTTAAATAAATCGTTCAAAAATGGATTTTGCATATGACACGCAATCAACGAAGTCACCGAGTCGGATTACCCTGACAGACAGACAGACAGACAGACAGACAAATGGAATTGGTTTTCTAATCATGCAACCTCGCGGTATTCCGAAATACAGTTACGGACTGTACGACTAGTTCCGTCAAAACCTTCGTCTATCGCTCGCTTCGATATGGGATAAACAAAAAGATGCGTTACACATCACGTAGGGAATACTGCCACACAATATCGGTCATCTATTAAACATTCAGAATGTTCTTTGTTCAGTTTTAAAATTTTGAATCGAGAATTTTGTCAAAATGTATTTCAAAGCGTAGTCTGAAATAGAAGTCGAAAGTTTGAGACTTGTGCCATACCGCTCCAGAAAGGTGATTTTTGATTGGCTCATGTCGACTTCTTGTTAGTCATTTCATTGGTTGGTCAAAGTTCGCGAAAGGTCATAATTGCATGTCCGCAGATCTTTGTTGTGCGGTAACGAGAATTCTACCATGACATTGATGAATGCTTGATTCTGATTGGTTAAAAAGAGGTTTCATTTATGCTACGGAAACCCCTTTCAAATATATTGAGCCTTTTTCACACAAAAATACGTGCGTATGATTAAAATACATAAAAAAAGGCTGCCGATCGATCACCCCAATATGAACTGTAAAACGTATCTATATTTCCTCCAATACACGCTGGGTCTCTAATACCAGCCAGGTCTCTAATACACGCCGAGTCAAGGGCTCTTGCGAAATTAATAGACAGCATAGCGTCAAATAGAAGAAATATGGTAGTTTGATATCGGATGTTTGGGATTTTCTGGGCCGCAACCCTGACTGCTTCGATGATGACATTAAAATATTTAGCGAAGCCATATCTTTTGCTACAAATGAAATGTTTATGAAACTGTTACAGACATGTTCTATGGTGACCAGAATCGGAACAATTTAAGCTATTTCCTCATTGAAACAACCGACAACGAAAGTAAAATATAACATTATAAAAATGCTTGAAATATTTCTTTCATGACAACATATTGTTTACAAACCTTGTTTACAACCACCATCGCAAGGATTTGGCAGAAGAGGATTTGAAAGTCCATCACTCGTCCATTCGCAAAGCAACGAAAACAATGTCACGACATCATTGAAGTCAAACTTCATTTCAGAACACGCACAATTAAAAAAATAATATACGAACCACTATTTCTGGGCCACAAATGTCTCATTTCTTTCACACTCTGGCTTTGAATCCGTGAAATCTTGAAATTGACAGACACACACACACACACACGCACACACACACCGGACACACACACACACACACACACACACACACAAAACAAATGACATGAAAGGATGAAAGGGATGGCCTTGCGTGGTCGGGACAGGCTGGACCGCGGTGCTCAACAACATTCTGTCACATTCAGTTCAGTTGTTTTAAAACTGTAATGTAAAGGGTCCTATTCAAACATGTCTCGACTACGTGTTTATTGTTTAACGCCGTAGTCAGCGATAGTCAAATTGTGCGCCAGGTAAACCACTGACATACTGTCAGCAACGACTTCGGGCTAGGACGACACAATTTCATTCACCTCAAGCATATGCTTGAGACAGCACTGTTTGTTGTTTGTTATTTAACGCCACACTCAGCAATATTCCAGCTATATGACGGCGGGCTGTAAATAATCGAGTCTAGACCAGACAATCCAGTGATTGATGTCATGAGCATCGATCCACACAATTGGGATATGATTACATGCATCAACCAAGTCAGCGAGCCTGACCACCCGTTCCCGTTAGTCGCCTCTTACGACAAGCATAGTCGCCTTTAACGTCAAGCATGGGTTACTTAAGACCTATTCTATCCCGGATCTTTACGAGACAGCAGTGAACCAACAAGGGGATGCATGGCCGCCTCCCTGACAAGTGTGTTTGACATGTGTTTGAGAACATAACAATACACCGACATAAACAAAATGCCTTTCAATTGCTAAAAATAGACCATCTCCACAGCAAGATTCAGCGAGCGAGCGACCATGCATGAGTTTACAAGGCTGTAGCGGTATTAGCTCCATGACATGTAAGTGAGGCTCAACACTAGGGGTCACGAACACCGCTGAAAAATATCATCTTTGTCAAATAACCGACTGCTGTAATGCAATGTTTACAATCACTTGCATTTCATTCACATTTTAGTGGGCTCTGATGGCCAAGTCCTCTAATGCACCTAAATCAATGTACAGAGGTGCGTCCCTTTGTCGTGCCAGGAACCTATGACCGTTGGTTAGAAATCCCAGATTTGTCCAGAGTATGTTTCTTTGTAAGTCTGCATCACGCCACGGTTTACCATAGGTTTCTGGTGTGCCCCAGGGACTCCCCTCTTCACAGCGAACCCATGGCCCTTGTGAACAAGGAGGCTGAAGGAGGTGGATCAATTTTACCTCCTGGCCCCTCGGGACCCTCATTCTTTTCATAGACCACGAATGTCCGCATTGTTGAAATCACAGGTGGGTATTGCTGTTTACTGTCGTATACCCACGTAGCATGCATTAAGAAAGCCGTGTGAGTTGTCAGTGAGATTTATACTGATTTCAACAGACGGACCCGTGATAAGACAACACCCAAAGGGAGCTTGGACTCGTTTATCCCAGCAAACAGGTAAGTGACTTGCCACTCGCAAGGTTTATACACGGCAAGGTAATCTTAGTGCTGGGACGTCTTGACCCATGGTCTGCAATCCATTTCAGCCAAAGTCAACACATTGTAATACAGTACACTACGGTTATAACGAACACGCTTATAACGAACTTACGGATATAACGAACTTACTTTTTTGGTCCCGACTATTTGCTGTAGTTATGCTGTATATATGCTTATAACGAACCACGGTTATAACGAACTAAAATTAGTAGTCCCTTTGAGTTCGTTATAACCGTACTTTACTGTACTAGCATGTTTGAAATATAGATCTTATCTCTTCGTAATTGAAGTAATCATTAACGGCAAGATCATAAAATTTTGACATTTTATAAAGTGATGTAGAATGTTGTATATTTTATAAATTGGTAGTACATGATTCTGAACTGAGATTGTTAGTGACTGTACCCTTGATGGGGGTTGAAGTAGCGTGATATCATTGTCCCCCTGAGAGGGTACGTAAACTCACTTCATTCAAAGTATTTTATACATACCAGTGTTGTTTTTTTTGTTTTTTTAATCGATGAATATGTTGTTGTTTTAATCTGTGGCAAACCTTCTCCATAATCACTTGTGACTAAAGTGATGTGTCAGTCCTGCTGTGTCCATGCAGGTTGCAAAGGTACTGTAGGTCCCCATGGTCCCCAGTATGGTGGCCTACCTTTGGTTGCTGGTGACATATAGCCCGCTTGTGTATTGTGTTGTTATGAAAAGTTAAGGTTTATGGTCATTTACTAGTTTTAAACCTATGTCTGTGATATTCTAGTTCTTTTGCTGTCCTTTGTCGACAGCTTTTTATTCTGAGTTTATGTATTGTATAATTTGATATGGTCACTATATGGCTGAAATATCGCCGATGCGGCTTTAAATATTAACTCACTCACTTACTTATACAGAGATATGAAGCCTAATTGGAACTCTGTGGTAATCAGTGGGGTGAAGAGTGTCATTTTATGTGCGAAAGTGTAATATTAACAGTACCGTGGTGCGGGTACACATTTATACAATTCCTCATGTGACAACACTTAACTGTTTTTCAGAAAGACAATGTTTTCAAGTTCCGAAGTAATATCGGGACACATACAATTATCCCTACAACAATCTCATTATGTCTACGCCAGCTATCATAGACACATGCACATGCTTACATACATAATCCACCCTCCCACCATTCCCCAACATCCATCGAACTACAACTATATCCGCCTTCATGTATCGGTATTCGTGCTTACATACATACACCCTCCTACCATTCCCCTACATCCATCGCACTATATCTATAACTATAACCGCCTTCATGCATCCGCACTCATGTTCACATTGCATGCATTGAATTACCCGTTTAAAATATCGTAAATATTTTACAGTATGTACATATTAAATATCACCAAACAGAGAGTATTATAATGCAATAGATTTCATCCATCAAAACATCACAGAAAGAAGGGCAGCCTGGACAATGGCATCAGAATGCACTAAGACGTTCAGCTGGTCAGGAGGTGAGAGTTGCGGGAAATTGCGATAAACTTCAGTTTCAGATCTCCATTACGAATATCTAAATTGTGAATAAAGATCACAGCTTGCTATAAAGTGTACTTCATTCCTGCAGATTTAACAATTTCCTTAGCTATAAAATTTATGTCTAAATGCTCATGTAGACAAACACCCAAATGTTTATAGGCATGACCATATTATAGTCCACGCAAATATCTCCACATTTAAAAACAAAGCTAGATTGAGGCTTTGAAGGCATTAAGAAGTGATACACATAAGGAAGAAAATGTATGGATGTCAACGTCTTTATTATGAGGAACACAACGTTTCGGAGTAAAAACTTACTCCTTCATCAGGTGAATTAACGCTATGAGGCAGAGAACATATATAATTATGTACCTGTAAGAACAACAAAAGTAAAAAGATAGCAAAGGAGGAAACGTAACAAGGGAAGCCAACAGGTAATTGGCGCTAATTACCCCGGCCTCTCGTTTGCCCATTGTCCATTGCCCATTACCAATAATTCATAAGATAAGTTTTGGCTTTAGTTTGTCCATTGATAATCAACCATCAACGTCTATTATCTCAACCCTAAAAAGTACGAGAATCTGTACTTTACTGAGAAAGTGTTATCCAAATATAACATTTGTTACATTTGACCACGTTCTTAATGGCATTGTGTGTTCGAAGCTTTCGGCCATGGGAGCCGTGCCATTTTTCACTTGTCAGAGGGGTACACAAAGTACGTGATCTGGACTTACAGTTGTCGGACTTTATTTTTGGCGGAAGCGTCGGTGGCTGGGTTAGATCGCTGACTTTGTGTGCTGGTGATTGGATGCCTCACTCACAGTGTAGGTCCAAATCCCGGACGGGCATCTGTACTTTACAAAGAAAGTGTTATCCCAATTATAATATTTGTTGTCAAGAAAGCACAATAAATATATATTCGGCTTTGGATGGGTAATAATATCACACATATTTACGGATATTGATTACGACTTGAAGGGGCTTCGTAACGCAAGTCTTCTCAATTCAGGGATTGGTAACTCAAAATGTGTGTGTGTGTGTGTGTGTGTGTGTGTGTGTGTGTGTGATTGCGTCACAATCATTCTGTCTTCTTTCATTTGTCATCTGAAATAACATCCATTCGTGCACTTGTGCTTCCTACTCAAGTTACCAAACACACCCTGTTTACACACGTACAAGGTATATATTACGCTGAGGAGAATTTACGATTATAGACAGACAGACAGACAGACAGACAGATTTATTTGTATAAGGCCATTTGACCCATTGTACAAAATACATTTACATTTTATTTATCTAAGAGTTACCTAATTGATACTTTTTTTTTGTGTGTGTGTATGTGTTGAGAACACGTACATTAGAAATTTTGCAAAATTTATCATTGCATCGTTGTTGGATATTTGACAGAGTCTTTCTAAACAAAAATAGTTGTGATTAACTGTCTTTGGGATATACATTTCCCGCCGACTTGCATAAAGAGGACAGTTGTATATAACATGAAGTTCATCCTCAATTACATGACAGTGCTTACATAAGACGGCATCCTCCTCAATATTAGCAACACCCCTACGTATAAGTTGAATACCAAGAGTATTCTGTCCACATCTAAATTTGGTTATTAGCCTTCTATATTCACAATGCTTAATATTTGATAAATATTTTTCACAAACGATATTAGACTTATGCAGTTTATAGAATGAGAGGGTCTTGCTGCCTAGAGATGCATGCCAATCTTGAAAAGAACAATCTTTAACTCTTTCGCTGAACATATGTACAAATAATTCTGCATTGCCAACGCCTTGTGCAGCCCATACATCCCCAAAACCAAAATGACTTAGCAGAAGTCTGATATGCGATGCCCAGTTAGGACGTTTTCTATCAGCAATGGATAATAACATTTTATAACACTGGTATGGGTATCTGTTAGGACTCATTTGCAAAATCTTAAACCAATATTTAATGCATTTTACATAATAAATAGTATGAAGTGGATACCTACCACATTCACCATAGGCTACTGCATTTGCAGTCCTGTAGCCCGTGTGAAGTAAAAATTTACAAAATTTGCGGTGAACAATTTCAATCGTATTCCATTTTTGGTATCCCCAAATCTCAGCACCATACATTAATATCGGGACAATTTTTTTATCAAATATAAAGAATGCTTCCGTAACCGAAATGTCATAACGTCATATTAACGATTTAACTGACCAAAGTGCTTTGCTTGCTTGCTCACATAGAGTTTTACAGGCCTTAGTCCAAATTAATTTGGGAGTGAAAACAAGTCCCAAATATTTATAGGCGTTAACCGTATTCATACGTTCACCGTTATAATACCATTTCTCATTTTTTGACAAGGGTCCTCCCATTTTAAACACAATAATTTTACTCTTTTCAGTATTAATATCCATACCCCATTTATCAGAGTATAAATATAATTCATCAAGACGCTTTTGTAATTTTAATACACTGTCTGCAACAAGTATTAAATCGTCGGCAAACAACAGGGCAATTATATTTAACATTTCCTCTGAGATAAAAACACCATCCTGGAATTTACTTTCCAAACATATAACTAATTCGTTGATAAACAAAGAAAACAGTACTGGACTAAGAGTACAACCTTGTCTTACCCCACATGAACTATCAAAATACTCAGTAATTTTCTTGCCATAATCGTATGTTACAGTTGCTTTAACATGATTATACATACTCTGGATAATACATAAAAACTTGCCATGAATACCATTTTGCAATAAAATATACATTAACTTACTCCTATTAACCATATCAAATGCTTTTCGAAAATCGATAAAAGCGCAATATACTTTTCCTTTTTTGCGAGTGGTATACTTTTGTATAATAGCTTGCAAAATGAAAATGTTATCAATAGTTGAATGATCTTTCTTAAACCCCCCTTGATATTCACCAATTATGCCTTGGTAGTCTAAGAAACATTGTAGTCTTTTATTCAGAACATAAGAAAACATTTTACCCATTATATTGAGAAGTGATATACCACGAAAGTTATTAGGATTACTTTTACTACCTTTTTTATGCAGTGGCATTATTATTCCCGTTGACCATAATTTTGGGTAATGTCCACTGGTCAACACTGCATTAAACAAAATGACAAGATATGGAGTTAATACATTTTCAACTGATTTTTAAAATTCTGATGGGAGTCCATCATCACCAGGTGATTTTCCACACTTTAAATGGTGAAGAGCGTTTACGACATCTTGTTCGATAAAATCACACGATAAAATATCATCTTGATTTTGACAGTCTGGGCATAAGCTATCATTATGATGTTGAAGAAACTCACTGACTTTAGTTGAGAAATTCTCATCCCCTATTGACACTGGATTAAGTAATTCCTTAAAATAATCTACCCAAGTTGCGGGTGCGATGCTAGAGTCCTGCGAGCGTGCGGTTATATAACGTTTAACAAGTCTCCAAAATGTTGTACAGTTGCTATCATTCGCAGCATTGACTAATGCCTTTGTAATGCTCTGCTTAAAATGAGTCTGTTTTTGTTTACATAAAGATTTAAATTTGTTTCTAATGTTCTTGTATAAGTTATAGTTTTCCGAAGAAGACACCTTTCTGAATGTATTCAGGAGTTTATACTTTTCCCTCTTCAAGTGTTCACACTCTTCATCAAACCATTCTGGTTGTTTCTTAAAGCCTATATATTTGGACCTCTTTACTTTCATATTCCTTCCACAATATTGTATTATGTGCTGTAACTTCTCTGCGGCTTTATCAACATCAATTTCCACACAGGTTATAAATTCATTTAACATTTCTTGCACTAATGCACTTTCAAAATTATTCATATAGTCTTCACTCTTATTCACGTTCCATATATATCTACACCTGTCCTCACCTAGGCTGTAATCCTGATCTAGAGTGTCTACTACATTAAACAATGATGAAAAAGAAGCAAATATGGGAAGATGGTCTGATTCAGTGCGACTTATAACTTTAAAGTCCTCTACATACTTGTAAAAGGATGCTGACACACAAATATAATCTGGTGAGCTAACACCTGTTGCTCCAACATAGGTATAATCCCCTTCATCAGAAAACCTGCCATTTAGTAAATATAAACCAAACGTCTTACAAACGTCTAAGAAATCTTTCCCATAATTGTTAACGACTTGGTCCTTGTTCTTTCGCCCTGCAGGGCTGTCATACTGATCGTACACAATATCATCCATTGGTAGATGATCAACTGCATCAAAATCAATATAATCTAATTCGGTTCCAGTTCTACTATTAAAATCACCACACAAGATGTAGTCACTTTCCGGGATTTCGTCCATGAGCACTGCAAGGAAATTTTCTAAAACTTCAATACCCTCATTATAGCCCAATGTTTCAGGTTTCAAGTACACACATCCCACTATTAGCCTTCTACCAGTAATGAGTACATCATTAGATACAACAAAAACACAGTCAACCCATTCGTCATGTATCCTTGAAAAATACGATGAAAGTTTATCACTAATATATACCGCGACACCTCCACTGTATCGACCTGCCTTCTTCTCTTTAGGTCGAACTGACTGAAATGAAATGAAATTAGGAAAAACAAACTTGAAGTCATCTAAACATTTTGCCCACGTTTCGGTTAAACAGATGATATTCTGCTCACACACAAAGTCAAGGAAGTCATTATTGTTTATCTTGGAGTATAAACAGTTCACATTCCAACACAACACAGAAGTGGGTTGCTCTGCTTGAGAAGTGCACGTGCATTTCGTGTTGACGTCATCTGGTGAAGTTATTTCTGGGTCAGGGCCTTCTCGTTATAAGTCTTCGTAACGTGTGTCAGATGAAAGATCACTGGGCGGTGACTTCCCATAATCTCTTTCCTTCGTTACTTTCATAAGGTCTTCTGTCTGATCATCGAAATAGAACTTTTCACCATTGATAAATAAATAGTCATTCTTCAAAAATGCACTTTGACCTTTTTCTCTAGCGTTTATCATGAACCCGACAAGTTTCTTTCTTCTTTCCCTGGTTTTGAACGAAAAGTCCTCTGACACACGGTAGGTGGTAGTTCCCTTTAACTGTTCCTTGGCTTTGAAGTATACAGATGCTTTATCATCCCTTGACACAAACCTTACAATTATAGGCGGGTTCGATCCTTGTTCACGTTTAGCACCCAGTCTATGAACCGTATCAAAATGAATGTTGTCATAATTGCTCATGTCAAGCTGTTCCTTCAGAAAATTTCTCACTTTTTCCTTGGTTTCATACGGTTCTTCCTTCACGTCCATTTCAATGCCGAAGAAAATAAGATTATTTTTTCTTGAGTAATTCTCGCTTCTATCTAATTTGTCTTCTAAGGCCGCAATCTTAATAGATTGTTTGGACACAACAGACTTAAGTTCACAGTTTTCTTTCTGAATATCGTCTAACTGTGTACTCACTCGTGCGTTATTTTCTTCAACTGTGAGTTTCAGGGCTGTCAGTGTTTCACTCATTGTCCTCATAGTCGATGTCAATGTTACCATTTGGTTGGATAGTCCTTCAATGGCGTCCTTTAATGAGGGTGTGGCCAGATCCTGATCTTCTTTCTCGCGACTCTGTTCTGTATTTCTTTACGATTATAAGTTGATACGTTTAACTGCTGGCCTGCTATGCAATGCCATATTTCTTATCGCCAGGGATCACAGAAGTGAAACCAGTCTCCCCCAAGGAGACGTCTGATTAAACTCTTTGCTTCGTCAATGCTTCATCTAGCCCAAACTGGTAACTCGCACCACTAGCAACGATACAATGGCGTACAAAGACATTTTAATATCACTCCTGTGTACTGTGAAATTGCGACCCCGTGTTCCTTAATGTTGCAAGAAATTGTATCTCTGAAGACATCACGATACAGTTTTTACGATGCATCACGTCTGCACTAGCGCTTGATAACAGCCTTGTGTTTGGGTGTTTCAGTAGTTTAAATTGCTGCTCTTGGCATTTTTGATTAAACTTTGATACTATGAACAATATAAGGTTATATGAGAGAATGACTTTAGAACGGTAACATGCGTTAATGTATATCTGATATATATATGATGACATAAATAGAACAATGAGTAGTACGTCCAGATTAGTGTATAGGCAACATTTGATAATTCAATTCAACAACTCTCCTTTTAAGTCTTTTTTTCTGACTTAAAAGTAAATGAAAGAACACAATCGTCCGGAATACAATGTATAATTCTGGTGCAGTTCCATGTGACTATAAAGCATACAATAAGTTTTCGGGTCCCGTTTGGATCGGTTTGGGTGGCAGCTTAGATATCCATAGAATAGGTTCATCTCGGAATCTCCCATATAACTTGGGCTCTTCTTCAATTTAAATGGAGTTACTTGTTTCTTTCAAAACTATACAGTTTTAGAGACTGAGCATTAGTCTGAATAGACATCACCAGTACAGCGTCAAACTCGGGCCCGTAATCTAACACGCGAGAACTGACCATTCAAATCTGAGAAGTAGGAATACCCGTAGACGCTGTTGCTTGATTGACAATGTCAATCAAGAAAGGGAGGAGCTTGATGATATTCTTCTCTCCCAGTAAATTCCGTTGTCAAATAACGACGCTATTTGGACGGAAAAACGATGATCTGAAAACGTCCAAATAACGTCGTTTTTTCGTCCAATGACCTTATACGAAAAAAAACGACGTTTTCGTGTTTGCAGTGAATTACCTCCCCCGATCACTCACTCTGACATAACTTACCCCCGAGTTTGTTCAAATTTCAGTTCATCTACGTTCAAGATGGAGATCAACGTAGCTGGTTTGGTCGTGCTGATTGTGTTCTACGTCATCATTTTGGTGGTCGGAGTCACGGCGGCTAAATGTGTAAAAATAGACGAGGAGAATAAATCTGAAATGGCCTCAGTTGCTGGTCGTCAACTCTATGGTGTTGTGGGCATATTCACCATGATAGGTGAGGATATATGCAATACATTTATGTCCCATGAAACCATAAAGTGATAAAATTTTATCAATTTAAAATATTTGTTCCTAGTCAAAAGTTAATGTGATAATATAACTTGAAAATACGTTATCACCATGATGACATAGGCTGACATTTGCAGAATTTGATCTTTGTTCTGTGTACATAAAGTACTTGCCAGGACAGATCAGGGCTGTTTGTCCGCCGTCATATAGCTGGAATATTGCTGAGTGCGGCGTTAAACAACAAACAAACAGGGCGGCTTGTTGTCGTTTTCATGCGTATTGCTGATCCCTTTCAAAACGCAGTTTATATCTAATGAAGAATAAAAATAACCAGATATTTGAAAATTGCATTAAAAACACTAGCTTTCCTTGTGAGAATTTCATAGACAGCTTGGGCAGTCGTCTAAGGCATCGCGATTCGCTGTGCAGAGTTGCGTCCCCTGGACACGCCTGAAACCTATGATTGTGGATTCGAATCCCGGTTCACCCCGATTCTAGGTTTGTCAGCACCATACCCGTGCTCGTTGTTTTCACTGAATTGGTAAACGTCTGAGACCTGCATCACTTCGGGCTTTCCTCCCACATTAAGCTGGCACGCAGCGATATAACTGGAATAATGTTAAAAGCGGCGTTAAACCCAACTCACCCACTCACCGAACCCTGTTTAGTGGCATCCGGGATGCCGAATCCTGTTGAATAGAATCCCGGATGCCGAACCCTAAATGTTTAAATCAGTTATTTTTCTTTTGTTACTCACTATAGTCCGTCAACAATCATTATGGCACAGCTTTTTTCACAATTAGTTTCATTATTGACCTAACTAGAAATACCAAATGATGGTTGACGGACTGTAATATAATGACGCTTTTTTCAAATATATAATAATTATAATATATTATAATCACAAGGGGCAATTATATCAGTTGTATCATGTGATTAAAATACATGTAGTCAAGAGACACACCTGATGTCACATCCTTCTGTTCATCGACTAGAAAACACACAGTGTGATCTGTTCTTGAAAGGAAGACCAGTGTAAAATCTACACAAATACACAAAAACGCAAATCGGTACAATAGCGATATCAAACAAAACAGTTTACAAAAGAAACACACACAAAACATAACGTTTTATGTTTACAAAATGACAGGGGGCGGTCGGGGAGCCTAGTGGTTAAAGCGTTAGCTCGTCACGCCGAAGACCCGGGTTCGAATCCCGACATGGGTGCAATGTGTAAAGCCCATTTCTGGTGTCCCCTGCCGTGATCTTGCGGGAATATTGCTAAAAGCGGCGTAAAACCAAATTCACTCACTCACTACAAAATGACATGTATTCGGTGATTGTCTTTCAGCTACTACCGTTGGGGGTGGCTTCATAAACGGAACAGCGGAATCCATAGCAACAGGTGGTCTTGCCTGGACGATTTCCCCCATGGCTATCTTTGTGGGTCTTGTCCTGGGTGAGTTGACTTATCATCAGTTACTGCAACCGGCTTGTGTTGTGTCGCATCTTCTGCCCACACTGTTAACTATGTGCGTAGTGTATTTAACACATGCTATGCATAATGATCTCCAAATTCAGCATTCCGGGGTAGAATAGGTCTTCAGCAACCCATGCTTGCCGTAAAAGGCGACTGTGCTTGTCGTAAAATGCGACTAACGGGTTCGGGTGGTCAGGCTTGCTGACTTGGTTGATGCATGTCATCAATCCCAATTGCGTGTATCGATGCTCGTGATGTCAATCACTGGATTGTCTGGACCAGACTCGATTATTTGCAGACCGCCGTCATATAGCTGGAATATTGCTGAGTGAGGCGTTAAACAACAAACAAACAAACAAACAAACTGATCTTCAGCAACCCAGTCTTGTCGTAAGAGGCGACTAATGGGATCGGGTGGTCAGACTTACTGACTTGTTTGAAGCTTGTCATGTATCCCAATTGCGTAGATGGATGGTCATGTTGTCAATCAATGGGTTGTCTGGTCCATACTCGATTATTTACAGACCACTGTCATATACCTGGAATACTGATGATTGCGATGTAAAAACACCACCAACAACAACAACAACAACAACAACAACAAACTAACATGTTTAAGATCCATAAATGAACAAAGGCTTTCTCCACAAAGATTTGGTGGTACGGCTTGGTCATTGTAACCCGACAGCATGGGACCTTGCTCCTAATGTCAACCACTGGTTTATCTGGCACTGAGTCGTATATTTACATAAAAAGCAAGTTTAAAGCATGAATTATTATGTTGCTATTCGTGTTGATGTGTTGAAACACGTTGGCACCTCGTTGAACCGATTCAAGTTGAACACTAAACAAGGAATCTTAAATCTCAACGTACCTACCTTACAGCCCATTAAATTAAATTAAGCAGTACGCTACTATTTCATGTGTATAACACTCACAAGAAATGATTCAGGCCGCAGCACAAATAGTATCCCTCGTGACGAAAATAGAAGGTAATAAACATAATGTTCATACTTACAACAGTTCTTTGCCCCTATTATCACAAGTATGTGACAGAAATCCTCATGTACCGCCGTGCCACTGTTCAACTCAGCTGACACAATCATGTGAATAATATGTCTTTTCTGGCCCTTAACACTTTATATCCGGATCAGACCCTGGAGAAACCATAAAAATGTTGCTAGAAATAAATAAAAGTAAGAATTAAGACGCCTTGAGAACAAAACAGTACGTCTATGACAACAGTATATTCTGTCGAACAGGTTGTGCCTGCCATCTTGCACCAATTTCTGTTTGATTTGTAAACTTCAATCTTTGTATTCTCCAACCCTGTTGCTGGACTATTGTTCAAAGTGGTGCAAGACTCCACACGTATTCACCCTTACATTCTATGCCAAACTAACGTTAAGTTCTATATATTCAGACACTTTATAATAATGAATTCACATCCGGTTCCTAGGGGGCATAATATATGCAGGACGCATGCGTGAAAGGAAGTACGTCACGATGTTACAGCCAATCGAGGAGTGTTATGGCCGCGTGGTCGCGTGCCTCGTGTACCTGGCTACACTCTGTGGTGACGTCTTCTGGACAGCCTCCATCCTCAACGCCTTGGGTAAGAAGTCTACCGCAGTCAGCAATGGCGAAATATCAGATAAATGGAAGTTAAATCTAGTCTCCGATCAGTTGTATTTAATGTCACTATTCATACAAATTACAAATGTTGGATGCGATCAGTCCAGGTGCTTGTACACATCGACCTGCAAATGTTTATAGAATGTTTAAGAATATTTAGACCAAACGCAGACACCACGCACTCAAAGACCCGAACTGCCGCTCATTTCTGACAGATGATAACATCAACATGGCGGAATAATGATTTACATCACAAAGAAAGATAACAAAATACAATTTGGATAACTTCTTGGAAAACGGTTTATGCATATATTGCCCATCATATCCCATGTAATTAAGACCATATTTGCTTGTAAAGTTTTCCCATATAATAATGCTCGTGCCACTGTTGGTGTGACTTGCAAAATCAGTCAGTTTTAGCTGATCCTTGCTTTGTTGATAGCGTAAATAAAAGCCTTCACATATGTGAAGGTGAGGTGAGGTGAGGTAAAATTGGGTTAAAGGTCGCGTCCAAGATTATTGCACTTATATAGCAACGAGCATGCACGTGTGTGTGTGTGTGTGTGTGTGTGTGTGTATGGCTAGCGCTGCTTGTACTAGTCCGGACTGATGCCGATTAATAGTGCTAGCCCACTGAGATACAATGCAGCAGTTTGACATGAATACCCCACTCAGACACAGTATAGTCCTTGTTTTAGCCCTTTTATGCCGAACGCCAGACAGGGTCACAACAAGTACCATCTTTTAACGTCTTTTGGTATGACGCGGACGGGGATCGAACCCCGGACCTTCCGCTCTCCGGGCGGACGCTCTACCACTAGACCACGGAGGCGGTCTCACATATGTGAATTTCATATAAGATATCCTATATTAATACTTTCTTCCTTGAACACTCATGAATTATATATTATTATTTTACTTATTTGTCTCTTTGCAGGCACCAGCCTGAGTATAATACTGGGTATCAACGTGGAGACGGCTATTGTGGTGTCCGCAAGTATCACTGTCCTCTATACCATGATTGGTCAGATGATATCAGTTGCATATACTGACATAGTACAACTAATTCTGATCACCGTCGGCCTGGTATGAACAATTCATTCTCATTGATGCCAAAGACCCGGGTTCGATTCCGACATGGGTGCAATGTGTGAAGCCCATTTCTGGTGTCCCCCGCCGTGATGTTGCTGGAATATTAATATTGCTAAAAGTGGCGTGAAACCATAATCATTCACTCACTCATTCTCCTTGGAAATGCCTTCCCACGGCTATCAGTTCAGATATGAATACACTGCCGTGCAAAAGAAAGTATACACTCATGCTCGAAGCTGATCAAAACTGAAACAGACAAGTAATGTTTGTTTTTTTTATGGTGATTTATTTAATACGGGTACCATAGTTGTGTTTTGGACCTCAGGTTTGCGGTGTTTCGGCGACTGTTTTAAGCGAAGTATTTTTTTTATAACGTTTGTAATGTTTTGGTCAAAACCAGTTGTTAAGCGTATACTTTATTTTGTCCGGCGGTTTATCTGGCCATCACCACTAACGTGTGCTTGTCGTCGAGGGGATCTGATGTTAGAAAGTTTAATCTTTCTTTTTCTGAATTTGAATATGCTTGTTGGGTTGGGATTATCAATCCTTCATTCATACAGTATTGTCTGATTTGGTCAGCGACGATGCCACCGTCAGGTAACGTCAATGCTCCATCAGACGTTCATGTGCAACCACGCGACCAAACCGTGTAACTATTTGGTTCTTACGAAAAGTATCAAGTGTTTGGGGTCTATTCTGGCCAGGAATTATTTTGATTGAACAAAGACACATTACACAGATACCCCTAGAAACGTATTCTTGTAAGTGAGTGAGTTAATATGGTTTTACGCCGCTTTTAGCAATATTTCAGCAATATCACGGCTGGGGACACCAGAAATATGCTTCACACATTGTACCCATGTCGGGAATCGAACCCGGGTCTTCGGCGTGACGAGCGAACGCGCTAACCACTAGGCTACCCGACCGCCCCGTACTCTTGTAAGAGGTGACCAAATGAATCGGTGGTGATGCTATGTGACGAAGTTGATAGAATGTCCTCATTTGGGACGCTTGGGACGTTGCTCAATCTATCAATCCCTGGTGTGTATGGTCTAGACTGGGTTATTTATTGGCCGTCGTGTGGAATATTGCTGACACGACACCAAACTGAACCAGCATAAAGATATAAAAGAAAAACAAACACTTGGTGCAACCATCACATAGTTTCAACTCCGATTCATTTGGTCAACTCATACAAGGAATATTCACTATATTCATAAAAATGAGTATTACACGAAAGCACGTTCAGTATTTTATTAACTACTTGCCGTTTGTAATTTCTAAATAACATTTTACTGTCGTGTGTGAATAGGCAGACATCTACGGCACTAAGATATCTTGCTTGCTTATCCAACCATAACACAATCAATTTCTAAGGACAGTGAGAAGTGTTAGAGCTATTTGTACAAAACATTAAAATGTGAGTCATATTGTTGCCATAGACAATGTCATGTTTTTAACCACTTCACAGCCACTATGTTATCGGTCATGATGTCATGATGTCATGATGCAGGTGCTTGCAATTCCATTCGTGGTGACGGACGAGCGTGTGGGTGACGTCAGCACCACGTCAGACGCATGGCTTGGCTCTCTGGATGGCCGACATGCTGTGGCCTGGGTTGACCTTGCCCTTGCTATGGTAGGTACAACATATATGCTATTGTACAAGATGGATGTATTTGTCGAGATGTGTTTTACTTACATGTATATTGATTTAACAGTGAACGTGATCCGGGCAATAGCACTCCGCAATAGTCCAGCGATATGACGGCGGTCTGTAAATAATCCAGTCTGGACCAGACAATCCAGTGATTGACATCACTAGCATCGAGCCACGCAATTGGGATACGATCACATGCATCAACTTAGTAAACGAGCCCGATCACCCGATCCCGTTACTCGCCTTTTATGACAAGCGTAGTCACCTTTTACGGCAAGCATGGGTTGCTGAAGACCTATTCTACCCCGGATCTTCGCGGGTCCTATATGAAGTATGTGCCTGTTATATATGATCGTATTCCTGCAAATATACAATAGGAAACTTCAAACACCATCCCCGACAGGCATATGTATCATCGTATTTCCTGCAAAAGTACAAACAGAGGCGATACATTTCCATTGCCTGTTGCAGATATTCGGCACTATTCCCTGGCAGTCGTACTTCCAGCGCGTGTTGTCAGTCCGGAGTGTGAGAGAGGCCCAAATTCTGTCTGTCCTGGCGGGAATGGGAACTCTGGTCCTCGCTGTGCCCCCTTTCCTGATCGGCGCCCTCAGCACGGCCGCTGGTATGCCAAGTACTTTTCAATAAAATAACAGAGCACCTTGCATTATATAATGGTTACCATTGATGAACCACCATTAGCGCTGGTTCAGCACTATTCCAGGGCAGGATCCTCCCACATCAAGCTGACACGCCGTGATATAACTGGAATAGTGTTCAAAACGATGACAAGCCCAACCCAACTCACGGCGGGGTAGGCCGGTGAAGACGCCGGGGTTTTGCTTGCCGTAAAAGGCGACTATGCTTTTCGTAAGAGGCGACTAACGGGATCGGGTGGTCAGGCTTGCTGACTTGGTTGATTCATGTCATCGATCCCAATTGCGTGGATCGATGCTCATGATGTCAATCACTGGATTGTCTGGTCCAGACTCGATTATTTACAGACCGTCGTCATATAGCTGGAATATTACTGAGTCCGGCGTTAAACAACAAACCAACCAACCAAACCAACCTTCTTGCATCTATTTCAGATTGGTCCAACTCAAGTCTGACTGGTGGCCTTGACCCTGTGAGCGCCAACATGAGCAGCATGATCCTGCCTCTTGTCCTGAAAGAGTTCACGCCAAGTGCTGTGTCCATCATAGGTACAAACACCCAAACGATGGGTAGTATAGCACCTAAACATCGGGAGTAGTTCTGGAGGAAAAAAACTATCTAAATATTTGGAAGCAATATGGTATGAGTGAGTGAGTGAGTGAGTGAGGCAATATTTCAGCCATATAGTGACGAGCAATATGGTATGAAAATTTATTCAATCTTTATATTTGGAGATGACCGCAATATGCTAAGTCGAATTGATGCTGATATGCATGATAAATTGAATGTGAGGGTTTAACGCCGCTTTTAGCACTATTCCAGCAATATCACGGCGGGGAACACCAGAAATGGGCTTTACACATTGTACCCATGTCGGGAATCGTATCCGGGTCTTGGGCGTGACGAGCCAACGCTTTAACCACTAGGCTACCCGACCGCCCCAATTTGAATGTAGATTTGCATGGAATTGTATTGGACTGGAGTTGCTTTGGTGTAGGCTACCTGACCAAATAAATCATTCGAAAACAACCCCGTACAGCAAGGTTTAAAATGTCTTGTTTCTGTCTTGTGCCTCGTCAAACGAAATATGTTGTTGGTGCCTTTCCTGATTTAGTTTTGCGATGACTGACAATGTAATTGTGTGTTGATTTGATAATAATAACAACCATATCGGTCAGGAGCGAACGGTAATTATTAGTTCCCAGCCTTTAAGCTGCTGATACAGGTGGTACTTGATTGCATGTACTGATGTTTATATAGGATGTTTAATGTACATATGATGTTTCGGTAAGGTCTTGGGGCGATCTCAGCTGCAGTCATGTCTTCCATGGACAGCTCCATCCTCGGCTCAAGCTCCATGTTCACCCACAACGTGTACAGGACCGCCATCAGGGCGCAGGTAAATGAAAGCGACAACACCCTTTTCATATTTAAAACAGATATATCGAACTATATCAATAGCATGTGTTTATGATTCATTATCAAAGAGTGAGGACACCAGGCGTTCGCGAAAAGAGCGTATCCTACTCCACCGGTGGCACCCATCACAAACACATGCATGCAACGGCAAAAACATGACATTCACTTCCAATGTGTTGAGTGTGTAACGCTTGTTCCAAAATATCCAGGGGTTTTAATAAATACCAAAGAATACTTCCAAATGTGGATTCTTTTGGATTGCATTCGTTTACCTTTAGTCGTTTTATTGCTTTGGGTTGTACATGGTGACTGGCACTGTTTATTGTTCATGCATGTGGTTAATGTGGGAATAATACATCATACGAACATTACAACTTAAGCTGATGTCAGTATTGAAAATATGGTTTGGAACCTCTCTGCGAAAAATAAAATAACTGAAGCACATTTCTATAAGAAATATTTAAATATTTTCTAGAACGGGTTTGCGATTTAAAAACGGCTGTTCTAGCGTTAGCTTAGACTCATATACCTACATGTAACAGTTTTTTTTGTTTGTTTGTTATTTGCGTGGATCGATGCTCATGATGTCAATCACTGGAGCAATATTCAAGCTATATGACGGCGGTCTGTAAATAATCACGTCTGGACCAGACAACCCAGTGATTAATATCATGAGCATCGATCGACGCAATTGGGATCGATGACATGCATAGTCACCTTCTACGGCAAGCATGGGTTGCTGAAGACCTATTCTATCCCGGATCTTCACGGGTCACATGTAACAGTCAATTCACATCTTGATTATAGTTGATGGAAAATGACCCGTCAACCCTTGTGAGATAATAACTATCTGACAAAAGTATTCACACATATTTAATCCCTCAGTGCTCCTCTTCATTTCAGGCATCAGAACAAGAGTTGATGTGGGTTCAAAGACTATCAATCTTAGCAATCGGAATAATAGCCACCGTGCTCTCCATCTTCGTGAGGACTGTGTGGGGACTGTTTGTCTTAGCCGCGGACATTGTTTTTGTGATTGTGTTACCTCAGCTGACATGTGCCCTGTTCCTCCCAGCAACGAACGGATATGGCGGGATTGTGGGATTTACTCTCGGCACAGTCTTGAGGATTGGTGCTGGTGAAAGCTTCTTGGATCTCCCTCCATTTATATACTACCCATTTTATGACCATGACGTGCCCGAGCAACTGTTTCCATTCAGGTCATTTGCCTTTGTTGTATCGTTACTCGGGTTGATAATAATTTCTTACATGATGAAGTTCTTGTTCGAAAAGGAAATTCTTCATCCAAAATATGACTTTCTCGGAGCTCTAGATTCAGGATGTGTGGACATCACCTTAACATACACAGACACAAATAGAGGACTCGCGCTTGACAAAGTTCATATGCCTGAGAAATTACCTGGTACAGCTAATGACATCGCAGTTGTCCGACACAAGCAGTGATGTAAATGATGTTCAGTGAATAAGCTCCAAAAGTCCAAAAAGATACTTTCTTGAGACTGTTCAGATATGTACATACAATTCACATTTTTAAGGAAGTCTCGTGTTTAAATTATAAAGAAACACATTGCATTTTACTCCAAATTAATCCAAATTGCGTCAAAATATAAGTGAGTGAGTGAGTGAGTGAGTGAGTTTGGTTTTACGCCGCTTTTAGCAATATTCCAGCAATATCACGGCGGGGGCTTCACAGTCAAAATAAAAGAAAATGTATAATCCATGCTTCTTGTTTGACTGCTCGTTGTTTAACGCCGCACGCCGCATTATTCCAGCAATATGATTTTGGTTTGTTTGTTGTTTAACGCCGCACTCAGCAATATTCCAGCTATATGACGGCGGTCTGTAAATAATCGAGTCTGGACCAGACAATCCAGTGATTGATATCATGAGCATCGATCCACGCAATTAGGATCGATGACATGCATCAACCAAGTCAGCGAGCCTGACCAGTCGATCCCGTTAGTCGCAATATAAAAAATGTGACGGCGGTCTAAATAATCGAGTCTGAACCAGGCGATCCAGTGATTGACATCATGAGCATCGATCCACACAATTTGGATCGATGACATGCATTAACCAAGTCACCGAGCCTGACCAGTCGATCCCGTTAGTCGCCTCTTAATACAAGCATAGTACGGCCTTTTTACGGTCTGGGATGTTGAAGATCTGTTCCACCCCGGAACTTTACGGGGCGTATTATACATGCAGTGAAATGATCATAGTAGGGATTTAATCCAAGAACCAACGTGACTTTGAATGACGCAACTCAACACACCTATTTCACCGTAACCAAAACAAAACTTCCGTACTAACCAACTTATATGATATTATAATTACATATTAAATATCCATTTTTATAACCATATTGTTTTATTTGTCGGAATGTTTGTAGATAATAAACACTTTCTGAACAAGAAAACGATCAAATGTTTTTTTCTGTATTGACAATTGTGTTCACCTATACTTTGACGTCCTACGATTAGTAACTTCCTTTTAACGTAAAAAGATGACATAAAAACGTACAGATACGAGGGTTGGCTGAAAGGTTCTAAGCCTAAATGGGATATCTCAATCGGATTGCCACAAACAAGTACAATCATTTAATGAATCATAGACATAAGAACTGCAACTGTAGTGTTATTATTGTCTTTGTACCAGAACATCTTGTGAACCTACCCATTGAAATCACCACAAATGGACAAAACTGGCTATAGGGCAGTCATCAAGTATCTGCAACTGAAAGGGCCAACTCCAACACAGATACATGCTGACATGGTAAGAAGTGGGCTTCGGTATTCAAGCGTGGCAGAGAGAGCCGTGACGATGGCCCGCGTCCAGGATGGCCTTCAACAGCAACCATTCCGGAAAACATTACCCGGGTGCATGACATGGTGATGGCTGATTGACCACTCGACATATTGCCGGTGTCGTGGGCATCTCTCATGAGAGGGTTGAGCACATTATCACCAACGAGTTGGGAATAACAAAAGTTTCTGCAAGATAGGTGTCAAAGCTCTTGATAGCGGATGAGAAACGTGTCAGATTCCTGACGTCCCGTGACAATTTATGCCGTTTTGAAGCAGATCCCGATGATTTTTTGGCCCGATTTGTAACCATGGATGAGTCTTGGATTCACCACTTTCAACCAGAAACCAAAATTCAGTCTAAACAATGGAAGCATCCGGAATCACTAGCCCCCCAAAACGCCAAGTCGGTTCCTTCAGCTGGAAAGGTGTTGGCTTCAGTCTTTTGGGATTCCAGGGGTATTCTGCTGATTGACTATCTTGAAAAAGGCCAGACTATCAATGGAAGATATAATGCTGGCCTACTGAGACAGTTGCGTGAAGCTGTCAAAGCTAAGCGACGGGGAATGCTCACTAAAGGAGTCCTGTTCCACCAAGACAATGCTCCTGTTCACAAATCGGTGGTTGCCATGTCAGCGATCCATTATTGTGGCTTCGAACTCATTGACCATCCCCCTTATTCACCCGATTTGGCCCCGTCAGACTTCCACCTGTTTCCCAAAATGAAAAAGGAACAAGGCGGTCGCAATTTTCCTAGTAATGATGACGTCATTTCCCGCTCTGAATGAATTTTTTAGGGTGGTTGAAGAAAATTTCTTCTTGACCGGCATCCAGGCTTTGCACCATCGCTGGCAAAAGAGTGTAAAGAAGAGAAATGTGTGTGGAGAAATAAATGAAAACCATCGACTTGGTACGGGTCTTTCACAGTTAGGCTTAGAACTTTTCAGCCAGCCCTCGTACATTTATTTATCATATAATTGGTAGATTTCTCGGCAGGAAAAAGCCAACGGATAAAATGATATCCGTTGGGTTGGTTGGTTTGTTTGTTTGTTGTTTTACGCCGCAATCAGCAATATTCAAACTGTATGACGGCGGTCTGTAAATAATCGAGTCTGGACCAGACAATCCAATGATTTACGTCATGAACATCTATCCACGCAATTTGGATCGATGACATGCATCAACCAAGTCAGCGAGCTTGACCACCCGATCCCGTTAGTCGCCTTTTACGACAAGCATAGTCACCTTTTACGGCAAGCATGGGTTGCTGAAGACCTATTCTACCCCGGAATCTTCACGGGTCTGGTCATGTGCGGATAGAGATGCAAATATCAAAAGTCAAGTAGGGACTACTTTCAGTCTAATATACTGAAAATCAGTGTCTAACTGACGTAGCTAAGGTTTTTGGCAACTTTAGACATATAAATTTCGAACAACTTTGCGAGGGCACTAGGCCTAGCCAAGCGGGATCAGTAGCCATATCTGTGCTTGTAGACCTCTTTGTGTACATCTGCACTAAATGTTATGACAGGACAGGCCGACTGTCAACAACGTCTGAACGTGGCCGTGCCGTCTCATAGACTAGGGTTAGAGTGGCTTCCCTTTGGGAAAGGGCAGTGACTCTAGCGGACAGACCGATGGATTGCCGCGAAATGCAAGTAAAAACAATTGTTGTTTTGCGTATATGTTGCTTCGCCACTGTATAAGAACAGATTTCAGTTGGAACTATATTGGCTACTGTCACTGTCCGACTGACACACCACTTACCCTGTGACGTAATAAATATAATTGCGCACATTCCAGGAAAACTCGCAATGTTTCGCTAATGTTTGTGAAAGAGGGAAAGCAATTTTCAAGCACAGAATTAAAGAATGACATAATATGACATGTTAAGAAATAAACATTATGTATACAATGTTTATTCCTAATGCAGAATATTTACCATCCCCAAACACACTCGCGTGATAACCTCTATGTATCGGACATAAATAACAATGACATTTCTTGAGTGAAAGTGGTCTTCAGCAATCCATGCTTGTCGTCAAAGGATACTGAAAGGATCGGATGGTCCGGCTTGTCGACTATCAGGCCAGATACAAATGGTAAGTTAAACACAGCATACACCCAAGCGCACAACGCGCGGCTCGACATTTCAGCTGAAACAAGACTGGAGACTTGCCCCCCTACTAATGCTGACCCACCCACCCCACTAGTTGCCTAAGTGTATACACAGTTACAAATCTGACCCATCCACCGCACTAGTTGCCTAAGTGTACACACAGTTACAAATATTTTCATATCTTGATCATCATCCATTCTTTCATTAATAATTTGGTACACACACTTTGCCAATCGAAAAATGACATTTCTGCGACGGTTTTGCATTAAGTGGACAGAATTGAAAACTCTATGATGTACATATGAGTAATTTGGCAAATGCAGCCGTCTTGACTCCATATATCTTAAGCACATTATTAAAACATGGTATTCGTCCTCTATATCAGTTTCACAAAATGTCCCAAGGCACTGTCCTATCTTTATGGTTGTCATCGTATTCCAGTTCCGTAGCTCGACGCTCATAATGTCAATCTTTGGATTGTCTGATCCATACACGAGTTATTTACAGACCACTGTCATATAGCTGGAATGTTGCTGAGTTCGGCGTGAAACGAGGAACAAACGGAGATATATATGACTGCAGAAATTAGTCTTCTTTTTCCCAGTCCTTCCCCTCTCTGTCATGTGAAACGTAGATAGACAACACCAGTGAAGGAGCGGCAATCACCCAGAAAACAATCTCTGCAATATAGAAAACATTGCATTACAAGGTGATCACCAAATGCTATTGATAAATTCATCGAATCTCTGCCCTAATCGTCATTTGGACACGTAGATGGCTTTACCTATTTACCACTTATGCAGCCTGAATACTGTGTACTTAACTCCCACAACAAGTTTATCAACATGTATGTGCTGTCCAAGGTGAGTTAAACCCCAGCTAACTCATTCACCGTTAGGATTCGCGCATTCACTGTTAGTTCTCAAACATTCACCGTTAGGATTCACGCATTCACTGTTAGTACTCAAGCATTCACCGTTAGGATTCGCGCATTCACTGTTAGGATTCACGCATTCACTGTTAGTACTCAAGCATTCGCCGTTAGGATTCACGCATTCACTGTTAGAACACCATCACACAATGTTAGAACTCACTCATTCACTGTTATACGATCCTGGTTATTCCTTCGGTCATACTGCTTCAAAATATAACTAAGGTAAATATACGTTTTCCGAAAACCCATTTCAGGGCATCCAGCATGTTTAGCGAAACAAAATCCCTACCCACCACCACCTGAATACCAAATGGTCGGTACCTCAGAGTAACATTTAACGTTGTTAACCTTAAAGATAAACTCGCCTGTTTTGGACACCTCTGTATCACTTTGCACCCTCAAGATGGTCCAACATATGCACGGACAAAGCACTGCTCCATACGACAAAGCAACACGGGCGTTGTAAAGATGGCGTTTTTCTGTAACTGTAAACCAGTGAATATTTCGCTGAGCTCTTGGAGAAATATACACCTTAAAGATCGTTCTGTTCTGACAACAAACTTCGACTAAAACCCCTGCTTGTTGTTGGTGTTGTTGTTGTTGTTGTTTAACGCCGCACTCAGCAATATTCCAGCCATATGACGGCGGTCTGTAAATAATCGAATCTGGACCAGACAATCCAGTGATTAATATCAGGAGCATCAATCCACGCAATTGGGATCAATGACATGCCTCAACCAAGTCAGCGAGCCTGACCACCCAATCCCGTTAGTCGCCTTTTACGACAAGCATAGTCGCCTTTTACGGCAAGCATGGGTTGCTGAAGACCTATTCTACCCCGGAATCTTCACGGGTCTAAAACCCCTGCAACCAGACTGAAATGATTTGCTCAGAGAACTTAGAAGCTTGGGACAACTACGTATGCACTATGGAACCAACTGCTGCAAGAACTGGAACTGTCACCCGCCATTCCATCTTCTTTCAAGAGTGGACTGGGAATACATCCATTTCATAGTGGAAACACATCTGTTCCACTACTTCGGCCTAGCATGAACTGTGTTTCATTATATCATGCCTGTTTTATTAATCCTGTCTCGCCATGCGTATACATTTGGCTCAATAACAATATACTTAAAATTATTAATTATTACGTTTCGCTGATTAGTTGCTGTGTAGTTAAAGTTTGTATCGTTTTCGTTGTGTATGTTTGGTCTTATTAAGCCTACAAGTCATCACTGATATAAAAACGTCGAAAACAAGATCAGGAGACCAATTGCAAAGTGCCTTTCGTTTGATACAGTGAATCTCGTTAACCCTCTTTATGCCGAGGTGATTTCTGAAACACCTTTTAATAAGATCTGGAAAGTGAACGCTGTGCGAGAATTGCGCTGGCTCGGCACTGAGTCTACCTCCGACTATAAATTTATGCAGGGATGTAGAATATTATCTCAAGGTGTATATTAAATTGCAAATATTAAACCAGTTTGAAAGACAGACAATGCAAAGTGTCTTCCGAGATTTTGTTATGCGTAGAAACCTCCTAGCAATGTTCACCCTTTTTATGGTATCACCGATACAAGTACTTTGCGATAACTTTTTATTTAACATCTTAACGGAAAAAAACTTGCCATAAATACCTATGACGTCAAATAGGTCAACACACTCACGGGGAATAAATTGTATAAACTCAATTGTATGGCCAAAAGAATATTACAAAACAAACAAATGTATTTTTAATAGTGAACATGTATGCATTTGTTCATTCTAAGTAGGTTATTCATTTAGTGTCATAATTATACAATGAGACATGCGAAAAAAGCTCTTTTTAACTGTTTGATTAGCATTGTAGAAGTTGGTAAGTTAGAAAACGTACAACTCCATTGAAAACGCTCATTTTAAATCATGGAATAATCAGGATGCTCGTGTACAGTTCGACCATCGGGGAACAGGGCATGTGTTATGTTTAACAATTCTTATAGAAATTAAATAAAAAGATAAATATTCCCTTGGTCACAATATTAAATAAGGGATGAAACAATTGATTATAATATGGGAAACGAGAGGAGTAATTCGAAAATCTTTTGTGACTACAGCACTACTGGTAAATCGTTAGACATTAACGTTCTAGCAATCAAATTAAATGACCAAACGCAATTCAAAGACCAAGACACTTCCTTCTACAAATACGCGCATATATATGCAGTAGAAATATGCCCAATCTGATGAAAATAATATTTATCATCTTTAATTATATCATAAAATGGCTTTTCATTAACCTGTTTATATAAAATTACAATATTGAATATTACAACCCAAAGGAAATACCTACATTTTGCATTTACATTTACATTTCATCTTCTCGGAGATAAGATGTGTCTAAAGATAATAAATATGGTAAACGACAGTATATTTCTGATGTAAATGATGTTCATCAAACATAAGATTCATTAATTGTGTGGCCTCGATCTACGTATGACATGGTATGGAACAAGAACAAATTTCTGCAGTGAATTCATTGCGTGAACAAATATTTGGAAGATACAAACTCAACATCATGACGGAAACTGTAAGAAGCAGGATAGAATGATAATGTGTACTTTCATTCACTGACCTTCACTTGAAAGAAATTTACCAAATACGTACAACAAAAGTGCGTGTTCACTGACATCATAACGATATTTTCAGAGGAGGACTTTCTTTGATTCAGGGATTGTATGTACATTTGTCATGTAATTAATCAAAGCCAATCAGACAATCTGCATAGTAATAGTTGCCATTGTAACCAAGAGAATTGGTAAGAAATACAGATACATGTATGACCGTCGTGGTTGTGCTGGTTTTATTTTAGTAATAGCGTCACGCAGACCGGAAACTTTGACAATTTCTTTTGTATTTACCAAATCATTGTGATATTTCTATTTTTAATCCCCCAATTCTCCAGTTCTTCCTACGATACCCATCCGATGGATATGCTAAAACCATGAGCCAAAGAATGGGACGAAGAGACCAATGGATATATCAAAATGGAAGAAAATAATACACAAATCTGAATTTCGCTTTGTTCACATTTCAAACATGTTCAGTTCCATTTTCACACCTAAATTATTTTGCTTTATTTTGGGTTTCATCAATACTAAGACAGAGACAATTTGTCATTTGATGCTAATGTGTATACGCATTTCTGGGATGCATGCACTGCAACTGAGAGTGAAATATATGTGATGTAATAGACGTCTCATAACCGAAACGTGATTTGGTAAACACTATCTAGTATCGCGGAAAGTTCACTTCGGTGTCCATGTTTCTGTGATTTCTAAAACATTCTAAACGATCCTTGGGTTATCGGCGACGTTTCAGATCATTGGTGAAATGATAAATCACAGATTTTGAGAGGTCATTTTTAGTGATTCTAATTTGCCTTAAATGACAAAAACAGAGAATGTGCGCAGAATGCAAAACTGGATATACATGTCTCGTGTAAAACTTATGGTACCAACAGACTCGACATCGGTATACTTTAGTATTGAGTGTGTGGAATGTTAAATGGCGGGTTACTCGGGGGATAAACGACATGTGTTGTGTACTAAATCGTCAAAACAAAACAACTACCGGGCTTCCTGATGTACACCACAACGCTCCGCAGCACCGCATATGTTAAAAGGATGGAGGTTTCTATTGCCGCAAATGCCACATATCCTTAAACAAAAAAATTATGAATATTACACTGCATATTTAGCATGGAACTTAAAGATCCCCATTACAATATAAGTTACAATGGTGTAGTATTACATCACAGCTACATTTAAGCGGTGAAAATGTTATGAATGCATCACATTACTTCAACATTATGACCCCTGCACATTTAACGACACGATTTTACCGTTTGCTAGCGGATGACGTCCATAGTCATAACATAGGACGATCCAGTATACGAAGAATGCAATACTCCAAAGAAATGAAACGCAGCTTCGTAATATCCGTATATCGGTCCTCTCTGGAAAGAATAGATACAAATCTATGAAATCATGATGATCGCTTTTAAGTATCCTTATGTGTTTAATAATTCACGAGATGACTTCAAATAATTCATTACAAGCCCACAATCAGGAATGAAAACATACCAGGTCGCCTAATTTTTTTCAATCCTTTAGGGAAGCATGTCCAGACGAGCGGAATGATGATAAATTGGATGTATACAAACAGGATGCTGGTGAGAAAGAGGTGGAAGCTGAATGTACCTACAACAGAACCCCCTGATATATTTTACAGTCAATGTGTAAAATCAGTCAATTTGTAAAATGACTGAATTTTTCACTAAGGCAAGTTGAAAAACGCCGAAATATATCTGTCATTTTACAAGTATTTTCCCGTCAGATTCACTAAAAGTTATTGAGAAGTTTAAAGGGCTCAAAAGCATCACAGCATACTTAAGTAAAATCCGTGAGTACGGATCTGGTGTTAACAAACATTAACAGGGAGAATCTGGATTTTGAACCCACGATTTGTGGCACAGCAGTTCTGCAGAGCGAGTTACAGCGACCAAGAGAACTCCCTTAAATAATTAAGATTTTGAATATACAAAATATAAATCAACAATGGAAGTTCATGCTTTGTCACAAACAAACTAGCTTACCTTTTAAATCTAACACCTCAGTATGCACATTACCAACTTCAATATTTCCAAGAAAACAACGGAAATGCAGTTGACCTTCAACAGTGGGAAGATATGTAAGCTGGCTTGTCGTGTGATATGCACACGAAACAAGGCGAGGTTGTGATTCACTGACGCCATCTTTGATGCTGAGCCAGTGGATTTCCTGTGTAGAGTTCTTCATCTCCCACTGCCAGACATGTGCCTTGCTGCCTTCAACAGCTTCACAGTAAACCGTGATTGAAGTCAGGACCTGGTGTATATCTTGTGCTGGATCTTTTCTGATGGGCGTTGTGGGCTCAACTGGAATGAACGGTTAAATGTCCAGTAGTTTGGTTTGTTGGTTTGTTGTTTTACGCCGCACTCAGCAATATTACAGCTATACGACGGCGGTCTGTAAATAATCGAGTCTGGACCAGACAATCCTGTGATTGATATCATGAGCATCGATCGACGATCGATGACATGCTTCAACCAAGTCAGCGAGCTTGACCACCCGATCCCGTTAGTCGCCTTTTACGACAAGCATAGGCGCCTTTTACGGCAAGCATGGGTTGCTGAAGACCTTTTCTCCACCGGGTCAAATGTCCAATAGAACTGCCTTGCAGTATTTATATCACGACATGTGAACATAACGAGGGGGAAGCGACTTAAAGTAATAAGGTCTGTGACTGAAGGGAAGCTATTTACAGATTGTAAAAAATACGCTTCCAACCAAGGCTTGTCATAAGAGTACAGTTTGGTTTAACGCCTCTTTGAATGGTAGTGTCACATTGATGTACGAGGAAGGCTCATGGTGATGCAGGTCTTAGATGTTTTACGGCTTAGTTTCTTAGTTTTGGAGAAAGCAGGTTAGCGTTATCTACCCTTGGTTTAAAGACATTGGGGGTGGGGGGTGGGGGGGGGGGGGGGGTGGGGGGGGGGGGGGGGGGGGTGCAGAAACATGACACTTGTTTCCGGGTGGGGCTGGGGCTAAGGGACGAAAGTCGAGATACCTTTACCACGTTCATGTGAGTAATTATTGCATTTAATTGTAAGCCGATATTGTGCGATTCAAAGAAGTATTGGTGATGAAGTTTGACGATTTGGTGAGATTATAAATGACAAAAAATCCTTTTCATAATTATATTAAATCTTTAAAGCAGAGTCCACTGTGGTTCTACGATTCCGGCTATATCACAAACATAAGCTTATTTCACAACAAATAATGATGATATCCGGTCTTCGTGAAAACGTGAGTGTATCCTGTCAAACGATTTGTCACAAAACACTTTTGAAATATTTGTATACAGTTAATTCCTTCTACTGTGTATGTGTTGGTTGGTTGGTTGGTTTGTTGTTTAAGGCCGCACTCAGCAATAGTCCAGCTATACGACGGCGGTCTGTAAATAATAGAGTCTGGACCAGACAATGCAGTGATTAATATCATGAGCCTCGATCCACGCAATTGGGATCGATGACATGCATCAACTAAGTCAGCGAGCCTGACCACCCGATCCCGTTAGTCGCCTCTTATGACAAGCATAGTCGCCTTTTACGGCAAGTATGGGTTTCTGAAGACCTATTCTACCCCGGATCTGCACGGGTCTACTGTGTTTGTGTATAAGCGCCGAAATATATGTATGTAAGTTATAGGTAACATAGCAAAAGCAACTTACCATGAAATTCAATTGCTGGTGAATACCTATACTGAAGGTTTACAAAAGTAGTATTTCGATAGTTTCTCTTCAGCCCAAACACTTCACACTGAATCTGGGTCACTTCCGTACAATTTACTCTGATGGTGGCAGTAATGATATTTTCATCAATCTTGTAAACATCCTCCACTCGGACTGTAGTATTCGGGACAGCTGCGAGGATTCCGTCTTTACCCATGTGAACTATCTGAGATCCATTGTACACAATACTCCGACTGTACACCTGGTAAAACTGTTCTACGTGACTGCTTCCATTACACGTCACATTGGCAACAGTGCAGGTTGTGACACTGACTTTTAAAACTGAAACAAAATACACTTTCATTTAAGCAAGTATACAGTTTTGGTTTGACAGCATTCGGATCATACAAATAATATAATGTTGTTTGTTTGTTTGTTTGTTGGTAAGGGCCGCATTAAGTAATATTCCAGCTATATGAAGGCGGTCTGTAAATAATCTCGACTTGGCAATCCCCAGTGATTGACATCATGAGCATCAATCTACGCAATTTGGTTGCGATGCTATGCATCAGCGAAGTCAGCGAGTCTGACCACCCGATCCCGTTTGTCGCCTCTTACTGAAGATGAAACTGAAGTGAAAGAGTTTAGTTTTATCTGAGCAGTGTTTCAGTTGAATCGTGTCAGCTTAAGTCAAAGACCAAAGTGTTGTCAGTTATGAGTTTGGTGATTGATAAACAAAACCAGGGTTCAAAATCGGGACGAATCGAGAATTCGAGCCATGGGATTCAGATCCTGGAACGACTAAGGACTCAATTTGTTGGGCTACCTGCCCCCTCCAGCCCGAGGAAATTCCAGGTCAGAATACGTCCCGATCAACCTATGCTTGTCGTTAGTAGCGAGCAAATTGATCGGGTGGTCAGACTCGTCGACTTGGTTAACAGCGTGTCATCGTACCCCGAAGGTATAGGTCGTTGTTCACAATATCGATCACTAGGTGTTCTGGTGAAGACTCGATTATTTACAGGCCGCCGAGTGCAGTCCGCTGAGTGCAGCGTTAAACAACAAACAAACAAACCCGCTCCCGCTAACAAGTCGATAATTCAAGGTTACGATATGTCCGTGAAAGATAAACAGCTGTTATACATACCTAATGTCATCATGACACAAGGCAGCAATGCCTCCAACTGAGTCGTGTATTTCATTGTCCGATCTGTGTTGTTGTAGTATGGCAATCTGTAGATCAAATTGCTGACTAACGGTAAGTATCACAAGGTAAAGAACATCTGTTGCCAGTGTAAAATTGATATGTATGTCACAATGTCAATTCTCTCCCATTCACACATCAAATACTTGTAAACTAGGACACAGAGACATCTTTGAAATGTATACTCACTGTTACAGAGAGAGTTAACTTCACATTTTTACAACAAACTATCTATTTGCACAAGCCATACGCAGTCCCTTGCCAGTTGCATTGCGAGTCGGCGTGGCTATATTTATCAGGCGCACACTACATGTTAGGTAGACCAGTATAACCTCCCCTGTATAGGTGCACAGTATGGTGATCCCGTGTAACCGCGGTACGATTGAATTGTCAGTTATACCACTGTGCTCCTTCTTGTATCCGCGGTACGATTGAATTGTCAGTTATACCACTGTGCTCCTTCTTGTATCCGCGGTACGATTGAATTGTCAGTTATACCACTGTGCTCCTTCTTGTATCCGCGGTACGATTGAATTGTCAGTTATACCACTGTGCTCCTTCTTGTATCCGCGGTACGATTGAATTGTCAGTTATACCACTGTGCTCCTTCTTGTATCCGCGGTACGATTGAATTGTCGGTTATACCACTGTGCTCCTTCTTGTATCCGCGGTACGATTGAATTGTCGGTTATACCACTGTGCTCCTTCTTCAGGTTTACGTGTTACTGTCAGCTTCCTATCGTACGTCTTATCAGACCGCCTCCGTGGTCTAGTCGTAGAGCATCTGCCCGAGAGCGGAAGGTCGGTGATCGATCTGCGGTCGCGTCATAATAAAAGACGTTAAAAGCTGGTACTTGTTGTTACCTTGCCTGTCTCTCAGCATTAAGTGGATGAAAGAAGGAGTGTTCGGCTCAGTATCTGTATGTTGTATCTAAGTACGGTATTCATGTTAACACCGAGGCATGGTATCTCTGTGGGCTAGCACTGTCACACCGGCATTAGTCCGGACAAGTACAAGCGAGCGCGCACACACACACACACACACACACATCGCTAATTTAAAAGCAATCATCATGAACGCGACGTTAATAAAAGCGACAAAACCATTTCCATATTCAAATAGAAATATCCAGTATACGACTTCGTCTTTATCAGGAGCATGTGTAAATGAATCACTATCAAATAGTGATGATACCAGGGCCTCTCGAAAAGGTGAATCCCCCTTTCACCTCACCTCAGTTTAATAATGTGTGCCCATTTGAAGTGGAATTGTTGTGCAGTTGGGAGACATTATTAAAATGTACCGGACTTATCTGTCTGATGTTTCGACATGAAAATAATTTTACCCGAAACAAAAATCCGAAAAAGGTATTTTTCAGGACATCCATTGGATACTTTCGTTATTGTGAGAAGGAGGAATTATTTCTTTCCAGGAATTTCTTGAACAAATTATAATTTTCTATACAGCCCCCTCCCGGGGTCACCTGCCTCTTTATGTGTCGTGGGTTGTTATCCGTGATGTGACCCTGCCCTTAATTTCACTCTTTGTTACGGGGCGGTCGGGTAGGCAAGTGGTTAAAGCGTTCGCTCGTCACGCCCAAGACCCGGGTTCGATTCCCGACATGGGTACAACGTGTGAAGCCCTTTTCTGGTGTCCCCCGCCGTGATATTGCTGGAATTTTGCTAAAAGCGGCGTAAAACCATACTCACTAACTCTTTGTTACGATAACGCGGCTTTATTGCTGAAAGAAATAACTTTAGGGTATTTACCTATTCTTTCAGGGAAATTCCAAATAGGAACATAGACGCGTTCCGGGTCTGTGGTTAAGCCACACAAGTATTGCTAAACAATGCTTTTTATTCACGTAGCGACATGCCACCTACAGAACATGTTTCCCCACCAGTAACTTATTTGAATATTACTGGGAAAGAGGTGTAGCAGCTCGTCGTCAGAACGGTTTCGCTTTCAGTGATAGAAAACGCAACTGCGAGTGGGGAGACTTTGTCGACTACGAGCTTCCATACTTTGTGGATCGATTTAACCGTGACGCGGAGTGGAGGGGAAGGAGAAATACAGCTCTGACATGGATCTGTCTTTCTTCCTCCTGTGTTCACTCCTATCATCAGTAACATGTAAGTATAACATTTAACATAGTACTCAGTGTGTTAGTTCCCTTCAACAGATTATGTTGTGTTTAATGGTTACATTTCTGAGACAACAGATCCTACTTTCGGTTTGAACAATTGTTGGTGTATCTAGGTTAAATGTAAAAAGTCCTATCAAACCTGTAGGCCATGGCCTCATGTCGGTTAATGTCGGGATAATGTCAGCCTGACCTAATGGCGTTGCGTTTCATACATGTGTACCTGTATTGGGGTCATGTGATTGTGATTATACAGCGTTGTGTACAGTTCTCTCATAACCAGGGGCCACGGGTAAACAATTCGTCTTATGCGCCGCCTTTCGCAGTGCAGACTGCGACCTTCAGACGTTACAGAAACCAGACTGGGTTCGAATCCCGGTTGCCCTGTTAATGTTCTTAGCTTTGTCAGCGCTAGAGCCGTGCTCGTGGGTTTCACCAAAGTGGTAAATGTCTGAGACATGCACCACTGGGCGGTTTCCTCCCACATCAAACTGACACGCCGTGATGCCACCTAATACTGTTGAAAGCGACGTTATACTTTTCTAACGGAATCGTTAATGTGTGTAGGTACCGTATTTCTTTTTAAACCTCTAACAAGCTTTCATATTTTCGCGTCATATATATATATATATATATATATATATATATATATATATATATATATATATATATACAGAACTTAAATATATATATATCCGCATATATCTAAATGTTCACTGAGTGGTATCGCGCGGTTGTGCGGCTGCTTTATTTGTGAACGGTGAAGATTCATTCGTCTTTGTAATTTAAGTTCTGTCTTTCCGATATACTTTTCATTGCATCCACTACAAACAATCAATTAAATAACATTTCTGGTATCACAAGGCATATTTTGTTTGACAGTAATTTTAGTGTCCTTTGTAACAAATGTACTTCACCATTCACAAATAAAGCAGCCACACAACCGCACGATTCCACTCAGTGAACATTTAGAGACATGTGGAAGCGGCAACTTTTTAGTTTTCCCGCTATATAAGCTAAATTTTAATAATGAGCCTACATTGTTTCAAAAAGAGCAACATTTCATTCATAAATACGCGCATAAGTTAAATGTAAATGCGAAAGTTATTTGTCCATTGTCACCTTGGTATGCTAAATGTTATGACGTCACGTAACTATATGTTACTACTTCATGTCCGTTATTCAAGTATGGCCTTGTGAGCGCTAGCCAATTAAAAGTGTGTTCAAACTTACTCCACTTATTTAATTATTACTATATTGTGCCTGAGAGTTAGAACTTTACTGTGCTTTTTCTACATACATGTAGGTCTATATATATATAGTATACGCTTACAGTCTATTTGATCATCCGCATAATTTAAGAGCAAAATATTTAATGTCTCAAGAAATTGATAAATTCAATATAAATGGATTCTGTCATTTCAGATTGTGCCATAGAGTTGACGGTTACCCCGGAGGCCATTAGGCTTGGAAATGATGCAAAGCTCGTTATCCGATGTAGCCTTAATTTGCGCTTGTCAAAAACTGACCAGGTGTATTCTGTTATGATGAAGAGAAGAAACACTGCACTCGTTGTTATATTTACAGACAGTACGACCAATGTGTATGATGAAACTTTGAAATACGCCACAATAAACTCATCACTCTCAACATCGGATGCCTACGTACAGCTAACGTTGCCAACTGTCACGTGTAATGACAGGGGCGATTACTCCTGCAGTATGGCCGTCAGACAAAATCATAGAAGTCTCAAATTGGGTCCTGTTGAAGAATATCTGAAGATCACAGGTACATTGTCCATTCCTCTCTATTTCATATAGTTACTGGTGACCCAGTTACCAGCCTATGCAGAGCTGCGTCCCATACAGGACAATCCATTATACGTTGGTTCAAAGCCCTGCTTTATCATCACGGATAAGCTTAAATAAGATATTGATTTGTCGCTTTCCTTGGCACGCAATGATATAATTTCAGTAGTTAAACCTTATTCCCTTTCTCGGTTTATCAGTTTCGGCTCCCTGCCAACATTAAGGCACGCAGTTAGCGTCTGTTGGCCATGGAGTTATGTAATCTGAGATCTGGAATTCTTCTGACAGCATGCCATGGCCGTAACTGTAGCTCTGCGTGAAGACAACACTATAAATGGTACTAGTGCATGTTTGTTTGCACTCAATACCGGCTTCAATGAAATATTGCAATAGCATGAAAGTCAATGGGAGAATGGCAACAGTTTGGTAACTTTTGATGCATGAATGTAGTTAATTTGTCCCTGGTCGGGAGGTAGCCTGAAGGGCCACAGCTCGGCATCGGCTGGCATTAGCTAGCACGGTAACACGGACGCCAGAATATTTTGCCCAAAGTCCTTGGTCGGGATGGGCCCCAGTCACAGCCAAGGGTACTGGCAAGCAATACAGATCCCACATTATGTCGCAGCAAGATCAGTCAGGTCGCAACTGTTCATGTGTTAACTGGCTGCATATTGAATGGTATTCTTACGTTAACCTCTTTTATTTAGAATTTTGATTACTAAGTAAGGATAAGATATATGGATGAACAACTTCTTTATTACAATTAGGAGAGACGTTTTCGTTTGCTTGATAAAGGTGTTAGAACCTACACCGAACGTCGTTCCTAATTGTATTAAAGAAGTTGTTCATCCATATATCTCATCCTTACTTATTCTGATGTTGGTGTCTTTATGAAAGAAGTAGCGATACAAAGAATAAATACATGACATTCAACGAATGTATCAATGATAGACTGCACGTTCATTTCAGGTGAATCTTGTCGGTTCATCGACACATTCATTTACCCGATGAGTGCTTACAAGATTGGGGATATCGTGAGAATAACGTGTTTCATGCTGGTACACCATGCAACATCCGATTGGCATTGGTACTTCACGAATAATGAAACAGTTTACAAATCGGAAGAAGAAGGATGCCAATTTGTTGCAGAGGGAGTAATGAATTGCTCAAGTCTTCTCGAATTTGAAGTTTATATGAGTTCAACCGTTACTTGCCAACTGGGCAATGCGTACAGAACTGTCACAATTGATGTTGAAGATAATGTTGTCGAAGGTATACGTTTTATATATTTTTTGAAAACAAAAGACCCGTGAAGATCCGGGGTAGAATAGGTCATCAGCAACCCATGCTTGCCGTAAAAGGCGACTATGCTTGTCGTAAGAGGCGACTAACGGGATCGGGTGGTCAGGCTCGCTGACTTGGTTGATGCAAGTCATCGATCCCAGTAGCGTGGGACCCGTGAATATCCGAGGTAGAATAGGTCTTCAGCAACCCATACTTGCTGTAAAAGGCGACTATGCTTGTCGTATAAGCGACTAACGGGATCGGGTGGTCAGGTTCGGTGACTTGGTTGATGCATGTCATCGTATCCCAATTGCGTGGGTCGATGCTCATGATATCAATCACTGGATTGTCTGGTCCATACTCGATTATTTACAGACCGCCGTCATATAGCTGGAATATTGCTGAGTGCGGCGTTAAACAATCAACACTTTTACACACAAAAATGCATATATAATTAGTCAAACCTTACTCTCGAAACACAATAACTTCGTTTTTTAAGTGTTAAAAAAATGAGTCTCGTCACTCTCATGCATTTTATTTACATACCCACATACTTTACAAATTTTAGACACAGATTCAATGTCCATGAAACCGCAGCATGTGGATCAAACACTCCCGTCTACACCAGGTGAGCTTTTTTTAAACAATTATTTGTTTGCAAATCTCGATTTCTCGATAACCTGCTGGATGAACTAATTTTTTTGTATTAGGTATTCCTTCATTTAAGAAATTATGAATTATATACGTTCATCTAGAAATGAGATAATGAGTTAATGTCAGCCTTAAGATGATGATTCAGTCACAATCTATGCACCTCAAGCCTTAATCAATGTCATAACTTTTAAATACTTGCCCTGTTTGATTCAGGTCATGTCACGCACATCAACTATACGACATACATGCTCGTCGGGCTCTGCTCTGTCGTGACTATCGCAACTGTACTCACAGTGCTGAGAACCATAAGTACGTATATTTTAATAAATGTGTATCCTTTTTATCTTCTTGTAAGTTGCCCGTTTGGGTACGTGGTAAGGTAAAGAGATCCCGATCCCCTTTGTCGCCAGTCGTCTTTTACAGCAAGCATTGGTTGCTGAAGTCCCATTCTACCCCGGATCTTCACGGGTCTAATGGTGTCTGAAACAAACATCGACGGTTACCCTGTTTGCATTTCTCAGATTATTTATACTGTCATGAAATCGTATTTGGACTGCGTCTTTGTATTATCGACGATAATGGGTAATGTTAATACAGTATCACGAAACCAACCACCGAATGCCCATTTTCAAAGCTTAGAATCGCGTGCCACTAGTATAATTATAATTCGTGCCAAAATTGGTTTAATAATGTGGGAGCTTTTGATTTATTTACATGTTTCACGTTTATTGTTATGGATAATACCATATTCCAATCGGTATAACGATATGACGCCTTCCAAACTCCACGCCTGATAAGGGAGGCACGGGGGGGGGGGGGGGGGGGGGGGGGGTGGGGGGGCACAATTCGCTGAGCAGAGACGCGTAGTTTTGGGGTGTTAGAATTCCTTATTATGCTTCTTACCTTCGCCAGCACCATTCCAGAGCTCACTGGTTTTCCTGAAGTGATAAACGTGTAAGATACAATTCCAATTACTTTCTACAATAACACTTTACTCATGCTACATGTTAACATTTCACAAGTTATATTTCTAATTGGCATTTAGTATTGGGATGGTTTCCAGATAAAATGTCTGTGTCCAACGTCATGATATGTGAACAGCACTTTTACAACATGGCCACTAGCATAAACTGCCGGGCAAATGGAACTGTACCTTGCATATTGGATGTGACAACCGTTATCAAAACGGGACTAGTCGCCGAAACACTGCATATGTAAGGTCCGAAAACATCATCGAAGAACCATTTCATGTTTGTTTCATTATTAGCCACTACCACAATGTACATTCTTTCTTTTGCCCGGCAGTAAGTTACTTTATAAGAGCTATACTAACTGTTGCAGAAACAATAACATGTGTATTTAACAGTTGGTATTTTTCATATAGGCAATAGAAGACAATGTTCCAGTGCAGATAACCACATCGTCAAAGAGGAGGAGGCGCAACTGTCGAAACGTCACATTACCGACCTTCATTTATTTACCAAGGAGGATGATACAATAGATACATGTGAAACGCACCCTTTAACTTCTTCCCAAAAGAGTGACCACATTTTATGACATTTGCTGCGACAAGGAATCAAAGTTTTAAAACTTTACATCGGTCAGTCGGTTTCTGAAGCAAGGTCAATTTCAGCCAGTTTCTTCTTTGTATGGTAGTTAACTGCTTAAGTTCCACACTTTCATCTATACATATCCATTTTCATCATCATCATCATCATCATCATTATCATCATCATCATCATCATTATCATTATGCCATGTTGTCTTATGTTGTCCTTGTCGAATGAATGTCATCCAACTAACAATAAAAATATCAACTCTGATTCCTTGTGCTGCTCCTGTGATTTTTCCAGCTTCACTTGGGCGTCTGTCTATTGCCATATCTCTTGATTTCATGTCACACCTGGACCGCCTCCGTGGTCTAGTGGTAGAGCGTCCGCCAGGAGATTGGAAGGTCCGGGGTTCGATCACCCACCGCGTCATACCAAAAGACGTTAAAAGATGGTACTTGTTGTTACCCTGTCTGGCGCTCGGCATTAAGAGGCTAAAACAAGGACTGGTCGGCTCGGAGTCAGTATACTGTGTCTGAGTGGGGTATTCATGTTAAACTGCGGCATGGTATATCAGTGAGCTAGCACTATAAATCGGCATCAGTCCGGACTAGTACAAGCAGCCACACAAACACACACACGTACATGCACGTCGCTATATAAGTGCAATAATCTTGGACGCGACGTTAAACCCCATTTCACCTCACTCATTTCACACCTGTCCTAAGCTACCTGTCTCCTGATTGGCCCTGTGGTCCTCTTCTTCCTTACTCACCTCCCATCCATTCTGCCTGAACTCTATTGGAGGGATGGCTCTTTGTGCATCCAACACATCACTTTCAGCAATAAAGGTTCATCATCTGCTTCGTATTTTGACCAGCAGCCAAGTGGCTGGACATATATTTTCCATGCCCGGCTACAATAAGGGAATACCTGGATGTTATAGGCTAAGGTGTTAATAGCTACAGGAAATGTCTTGTTTACTTCATACCTCCCTCTGAGTAATATACTGTTTTATGTGTGGAATGTGGTGGGCAATACATTTATTCCCGGTTCGCCCCGATTATGTTTCTAGGTTCGCCAGCACCATACCCGTGCTCGTGGGTTTCACCGAAGTGATAAAGGTCTGAGACCTGCATAACTTCGGGCTTTCCTCCCACATAAAGCTGACACACCATAATGGAACTGGAATACTGTTAAAAGCGGTGTTAAACCGTACTCACTCACTCCGCCATGATGACGTTGTAACAGGCACCGCGATATGTTGGTTCTCAGAGGGGTAAATGGGATACTATGGTTGAGACGATTGCTGCAATGGAGTGCGACCTGTGTCGGGATTCTTCACCGAACAATCAACTGATTTCAAATAAATTAATGTCGGTCACCATATACCAGTTACCTCATTCAAATATCAAAATATAGAAAGTTTATCTGCTCGATGACAATAAAATATAATGAAATCTGAAATCATTATTTTTATGTCATGAACAGCAACAAGTGGACATTACACTTCAGTCTCCAGGGAGCACCATATCCGGATACTGAGAATGATGCAAGTTTTGTGTAATGGACAGCTACAAAATCGATTTTTATATTCTTATTTACAGCTTGAAAACTTACAAGCGCATTTATTCCACATGACAAATACAGAGAGCAGAGCTATAACGCAATCATCGAAAATGCCGATTTTACAATAAAGAAGTTAAGTTACAAATAATAATGTTGGCATTTGCAAACAAAAGTCCAGGAATGTAAAATATGGCGGTACAAATTCTACTCAAACTTTCAAAATATGTCATGATTAATATGGATTGGAGATAACATGGAAAATCAATCGAAAGAAAACGTGCATATAAAACTTATGATGTGTGTAATTCAGCCAAACTCAGACCTTGGCAGGGTACACAAGTTACTTTTTTGGACATTCCGGCACACAGTCAATCACATTTGGACGAATTGTTTCTATGCTTGATGTGTCGGATGCTTATGCTTAAACATAAATGTGAGGAATGAGGACATGATAATTTAAAAAGGACATTTGCCACATGTTACAACCTGCCAAGATGACCCCATTATATATCAGTGGGTATTGAATGAGTTCATAAGTGATGTTTTTTTTCATTTTGGAAACTCTAGTTTGAAGGGCAAATGCAGTTTTGTGCCAATGATAATTTATTCTGTTTGAAATAGACCAGGTAAATAAATACTATATTTTTGTCACGTAAAAAAATATTAAACACACAATAAACAAAATACAATACTAAAATACATCTTCTATTTTGTCTTATGCATATGCAGGTGGCTGTAAATCAAACATGATAGTCATAAATGCAAACACAATTTCATGATGTCCATAAGCTATAAATGTCAACTTGGAAAGTCAAACAAGCTACTTATTTCAACATTGAAAACAAATCTGCACCGCCAAAGTATAGAAACACGTGTGCTCAGGTAGACAACCGTTTCTGCAGGTAACCTTTGGCTGTGCTTGAGTGTTACGTCGATTCTCGTTTCATGCTCTATGCATGGAACACCTCTCTCCTTCTCGTGAAAACTGATATTGTACAGTTGAGCTATGTCACTCACCGTCACTCACACGTCTTGAAACATCAGATTTTAAGTGACAGCATGGCTGAATAATGAAACATCGTACATTCATATCTACATCCTTAAGTGTTAGCTATTCAATTTCCTCATAGACGGGTTCAGTGTGAAGGCCTTGGTTCTGCAACATGCTGCCATCGGTAGGATCTTCAGGATGAAGATAGGCTGCTTCATGGTCTCCTGTGTCCTTGTGAGGAGGGACACTTGACATGTTTCTGGCGTGAATGATTATCACTTTACTTTACCTTGCATATTGGATGTGACAACCGTTATCAAAACGGGACTTGGTTGAAAACAGTCGCCGAAACACTGCATATGTAAGGTCCGAAAACATCATCGAATAACCATTTCATGTTTGTTTCATTATTAGCCACTACCACAATGTACATTCTTTCTTTTGCCCGGCAGTAAGTTACTTTATAAGAGCTATACTAACAGTTGCAGAAACAATAACATGTGTATTTAACAGTTGGTATTTTTCATATAGGCAATAGAAGACAATGTTCCAGTGCAGATAACCACATCGTCAAAGAGGAGGAGGCGCAACTGTCGAAACGTCACATTACCGACCTTCATTTATTTACCAAGGAGGATGATACAATAGATACATGTGAAACGCACCCTTTAACTTCTTCCCAAAAGAGTGACCACATTTTATGACATTTGCTGCGACAAGGAATCAAAGTTTTAAAACTTTACATCGGTCAGTCGGTTTCTGAAGCAAGGTCAATTTCAGCCAGTTTCTTCTTTGAATGGTAGTTAACTGCTTAAGTTCCACACTTTCATCTATACATATCCATTTTCATCATCATCATCATCATCATCATCATCATTATCATCATCATCATCATCATCATTATCATTATGCAATGTTGTCTTATGTTGTCCTTGTCGAATGAATGCCATCCAACTAACAATAAAAATATCAACTCTGATTCCTTGTGCTGCTCTTGTGATTTTTCCAGCTTCACTTGGGCGTCTGTCTATTGCCATATCTCTTGATTTCATGTCACACCTGGACCGCCTCCGTGGTCTAGTGGTAGAGCGTCCGCCAGGAGATTGGAAGGTCCGGGGTTCGATCACCGACCGCGTCATACCAAAAGACGTTAAAAGATGGTACTTGTTGTTACCCTGTCTGGCGCTCGGCATTAAGGGGCTAAAACAAGGACTGGTCGGCTCGGAGTCAGTATACTGTGTCTGAGTGGGGTATTCATGTTAAACTGCGGCATGGTATATCAGTGAGCTAGCACTATAAATCGGCATCAGTCCGGACTAGTACAAGCAGCCACACAAACACACACACGTACATGCACGTCGCTATATAAGTGCAATAATCTTGGACGCGACGTTAAACCCCATTTCACCTCACTCATTTCACACCTGTCCTAAGCTACCTGTCTCCTGATTGGCCCTGTGGTCCTCTTCTTCCTTACTCACCTCCCATCCATTCTGCCTGAACTGTATTGGAGGGATGGCTCTTTGTGCATCCAACACATCACTTTCAGCAATAAAAGTTCATCATCTGCTTCGTATTTTGACCAGCAGCCAAGTGGCTGGACATATATTTTCCATGCCCGGCTACAATAAGGGAATACCTGGATGTTGTAGGCTAAGGTGTTAATAGCTACAGGAAATGTCTTGTTAACTACATACCTCCCTCTGAGTAATATACTGTTTTATGTGTGGAATGTGGTGGGCAATACATTTATTCCCGGTTCGCCCCGATTATGTTTCTAGGTTCGCCAGCACCATACCCGTGCTCGTGGGTTTCACCGAAGTGATAAAGGTCTGAGACCTGCATAACTTCGGGCTTTCCTCCCACATAAAGCTGACACGCCATAATGGAACTGGAATACTGTTAAAAGCGGTGTTAAACCGTACTCACTCACTCCGCCATGATGACGTTGTAACAGGCACCGCGATCTGTTGGTTCTCAGAGGGGTAAATGGGATACTATGGTTGAGACGATTGCTGCAATGGAGTGCGACCTGTGTCGGGATTCTTCACCGAACAATCAACTGATTTCAAATAAATTAATGTCGGTCACCATATACCAGTTACCTCATTCAAATATCAAAATATAGAAAGTTTATCTGCTCGATGACAATAAAATATAATGAAATCTGAAATCATTATTTTTATGTCATGAACAGCAACAAGTGGACATTACACTTCAGTCTCCAGGGAGCACCATATCCGGATACTGAGAATGATGCAAGTTTTGTGTAATGGACAGCTACAAAATCGATTTTTATATTCTTATTTACAGCTTGAAAACTTACAAGCGCATTTATTCCACATGACAAATACAGAGAGCAGAGCTATAACGCAATCATCGAAAATGCCGATTTTACAATGAAGAAGTTAAGTTACAAATAATAATGTTGGCATTTGCAAACAAAAGTCCAGGAATGTAAAATATGGCGGTACAAATTCTACTCAAACTTTCAAAATATGTCATGATTAATATGGATTGGAGATAACATGGAAAATCAATCAAAAGAAAACGTGCATATAAAACTTATGATATGTGCAATTCAGCCAAACTCAGACCTTGGCGGGGTACACAAGTTACTCTTTTGGACATTCCGGCACACAGTCAATCACATTTGGACGAATTGTTTCTATGCTTGATGTGTCGGATGCTTATGCTTAAACATAAATGTGAGGAATGAGGACATGATAATTTAAAAAGGACATTTGCCACATGTTACAAGCTGCCCAGATGACCCCATTATATATCAGTGGGTATTGAATGAGTTCATAAGTGATGTTTTTTTTCATTTTGGAAACTCTAGTTTGAAGGGCAAAATGCAGTTTTGTGCCAATGATAATTTATTCTGTTTGAAATAGACCAGGTAAATAAATACTATATTTTTGTCACGTAAAAAATATTAAACACACAATAAACAAAATACAATACTAAAATACATCTTCTATTTTGTCTTATGCATATGCAGGTGGCTGTAAATCAAACATGATAGTCATAAATGCAAACACAATTTCATGATGTCCATAAGCTATAAATGTCAACTTGGAAAGTCAAACAAGCTACTTATTTCAACATTGAAAACAAATCTGCACCGCCAAAGTATAGAAACACGTGTGCTCAGGTAGACAACCGTTTCTGCAGGTAACCTTTGGCTGTGCTTGAGTGTTACGTCGATTCTCGTTTCATGCTCTATGCATGGAACACCTTTCTCCTTCTCGTGAAAACTGATATTGTACAGTTGAGCTATGTCACTCACCGTCACTCACACGTCTTGAAACATCAGATTTTAAGTGACAGCATGGCTGAATAATGAAACATCGTACATTCAGATCTACATCCTTAAGTGTTAGCTATTCAATTTCCTCATAGACGGGTTCAGTGTGAAGGCCTTGGTTCTGCAACATGCTGCCATCGGTAGGATCTTCAGGATGAAGATAGGCTGCCTCATGGTCTCCTATGTCCTTGTGAGGAGGGACACTTGACATGTTTCTGGCGTGAATGATTATCACTTTACTTCCTGCTCGCTTGATGCGGTGACTCTCGGTGTGATGCGACTCGGAACAGTTGTTTGAAGAAGAGTGTTGGCATTTACATTTCCGATCTAGAAATAGAAGAGCAAGATTAGTTGTAAGGCATTGAAGTTTTCGAGTACACGTACATGTACGTATACAAATGGTTGGTAACATGTCTTTTAAAATCCAACTTAACAATTGACATTTCATTCAAGAATAAATCAGAATATTAAGTTTTGTTATTATCTTATGATAACCATTCTTGTTTTATCTAGCTATCAATTATCTAACAAATAATACTAAATTAAACTAAATGTTCCTTGTGCCATGTTAACCATACATTTAAATTATGTTCCATGGAAGATCGCACATCGTTAATGTTTCACAATATACAGATGTAAATTTAGTAAAAAAGAAGTAAGTGGTAATTTGTCAGTGCAGCTGACAACTTTACGATAAGTAAGTTTTTTTTTATAACTCATTTCCATTAAAGATAATTGTGTTGCGTTATGTTCATTTGGCAAGACATGTATTCTTGTATTCTTAATTCCTAACTTCACTCCACTTTCGAATAGTTTGCCTCTTTTTTTGTAACATAAACTTTCGTCTTTCCAGATCCATATCCCGTTGGTATAAACTCGGCCCATAAGAAACAAATCGATCAAAGCTTTTCGCAAAATTACCTGATAAAAAGAGATGGAGCAGTGTGAAAACAAGGATAACAGCAAACGCCGACACAAGAACATATAGCACCATCAGTCCTATTCCTCCACTGTCTGTTATGGCAAACAGAAAACAATATAATGTAGGGTAATAACACATTGTATTTTTCTCAAGAATAAACACATTGTTGCATTCAAGTAAAGGGACAACATTTATGTACTGAGTAGTATGGGATCAGTTAAGGAGATGTGTTACCATCGGATATTGTAGCTGTTACGGCTTAGTGGTATGTTTCTCGAAATTATCTGCAATTACTTTTCAAACATTTTTAAATTTTTATTTTAACATTTATTTTAAACATTGCCAGTCAGATATGATAAAAAGTATACGTTTGTACATAGATGTATTTTGGATATGACATAATTTTGGAATTGGGACATTCAGGTATTCCGAAACTTACCTGGGTGTGTGATTGCTGAGGAGACAAGTGACTTGTTTGTGACTGTAACGTTAGTTGTCTGTTCTTTTGATGAATCTTGAAAGTAAGATTAATTGTTATTGTATGAAGAAATTACTCTGGTTTCATAGATAGCTGTTATGTCATTGCCTGTTACCGTTCCGTCACTTTGTAGTTACATTTCGATATTCCCTGAACTCATCACTGGACCTTTGCAGGCACATTATATTGCCTAATTTCAAAAGGAGTGATGACACTGTCCCGGCCGCCATTCATGGCATTCAAACATCACTAACACACATTTAGCAATATTACAGCAATATCACGGCGGGGGACACCACAAATAGGCATTACACATTGTACCCATACGGAGAATGGAACCCGGGTCTTCGGCGTGACGATCGAACGCTTTAACCACTAGGCTGCCCGACCGCCCCTTACACATGTGGAGGACAAACATAATGTCCGATGCAATTCCCGATTTTGACTTGTACCACATGTTCCCGTGTTGTTTTAGGTGAACAATTGACTTGCCTTTGCATGTGTTTGTGCCGGGTGCCACCGGTGGAGCAGGATACGCTACCCTTTTCGCGAACACCTTGTTACATCACCATTTGATAGTGATTCATAAACACATGTTCATGATATACTCGGAATAGAACAATTGACTTTCCTATGAATATGGAAAGGTTTAGTCGCTTTTATGTATATGTACTATACTATTGATACATGTCTGTTTTTCTGCCCGTAAAGATCCGGGGTAGAATATGTCTTCAGCAACCCATGCTTGTCGTAAGACTCGACTAACGGGATTGGGTGGTCAGGCTCGCTGACTTGGTTGATGCATGTCATCGATCCCAATTGCGTGGATCGATGCTCATGATGTCAATCACTGGATTGTCTGGTCTAGACTCGATTTTTTACAGACCGCCGTCATATAGCTGGAATATTGCTGAGTGCGGCGTTAAACAACAAACAAACAAACGTCTGTTTTTCTGAAATAAACATATTTTGTGTTTATGAACAATGTGATATTAAATGGACGTCGCATTGTACAACGCAGTCATGGACAACACCGTTGACAGACAAACATCAACCATGAGAAAAGCATTGTAAGGGGTACATATCTAAGTATGTTATTTAGTTTAGGTATACTAATTGCTAATGTTTAAAGGTCATCTCCATGATTAGTTCAAGATAGCCTCAGTCAGCTGCAATTGACAAACGTGTATGCATTCTCATGTTTCAAATATTAAAATATTTTCGAAGCGACCAAATAGTGTTTGGTAAGGAAAGGCTCAGTTCAAATTTGGGCTTCAAAGGAATGATTTGTATAACATGGATCCATGAACGGAATCATTCGATATCCCTTTGTATAGCTTTGAATGTATAGATACAGCATGAACAGGAGCTTGATGAAAGCAAAAGTGCATTACATTCATCTATGAACGGAATCATTCGATATCCCTTTGTATAGCTTTGAATGTATAGATACAGCATGAACAGGAGATGGATGAAAGCAAAAGTGCAATTACATTCATCTATGTATCGATTTGGATCTTACCTGGAAATGACGTGGAGACGTTTGGATGTATGTGTTGGAGAGACACAAGATCTACCAAAAAAGAAAAGGATGATATATTTTGTTTGATAGGTGTTTAACAGACAATTTCCGCATGCTAATTGCACTTTGATACATTATATTTCAGAAATAATTTGTCTCAAACGTGTTTTAAAATAAAGGTAATGATCAGTAAAGTTATAACTCCAGTTGACTCGAGTCTTCCGTCCTTAAGAACCAGTACTAACCTTTAAGGTTTGGAGAATGTGACAGGTTTAATTGTATTTCATTTTTGAGTTCCCCATTTAGACATTTGATAGGACTTCCGGCGTCTTTTCTGGTGACAGTATATTCTATAGAGCTTGAACACATGTGTAAACATTCAGATTCATCGTATGTGCAATTGTTCGATACATTGTGGTTGTTTTGATTTGGCAAAGACCACGACCAATCGGCTTCCTCGTAGTTCTTCAACACAGAGCAGGTAATGTTGACCACTTCGCCTTCAGTGTAGGCAGGTCTGCCCGGGGTCATTGTGAGGGAAATACCGCTGGGGTCACCTAGATATAACAGGAGGTTTCACTTTCAGTCATCTATTGTTCAAGGAGGAAATATAATATAACAATAGTGCAATTAAGAATTGACCTTCACTTTGTGTGAGTTCATTGGAGTATGAACCTTCATAGAGTGAGGGCCAAACTGTATGAACGTCGGAGCTTGCGACAAAGTGAAAGTCAATTCTTATAATTTTTTTATCACAATTTCTTACCTCAAAGGATGTTGGCAGAGATCTAAACACAATTATATTTAGTACGTGTGATTTCATGTTTACACTGACAGCCATACAACAACCAGCTAAATCGCGGAGTAAAATAGTTCCTCAAAAAGAGAGGTGACATGGGCGTATGGATGCACAACTTGCTCTTCAGACACATCTTATGCAGCACATGTGTTCAAATCAGATCATCAGATGAGAAAGGTCTATAAAGAACTACCTCAGTAAGTCAGTCACAATGACAGCGCGTCGTAATACATTCACATCAAGTACAAGACGTCAAAATGGCCGACACGATAAACGTGACGGGAGAGATTTCCGAAGTTGTTAATGAACCTGTGGCGGCTACATGTGTTAGTCATCATTGATCAAATGGCCGATCATTGAAAGGTGAATAAAGATGCGTCAAACAGACACAAAGGTAAATTCATAGATTGCTGGAGACGGTCAATGTCAGCCTAGGCACGGATCGAGTCGATACTACGATGGTTTAGATGTGCATTTCTTCGTTTGTTCATTAGGATGGGCCGTAGCGAGGATATTCGTGAACAATCCTGCAGTCACGCTCTCTGACATTTCTCAATGTATACTGAAAGGCTGAGACCAAGAATGAAGGTTCTAAATGATCAGAAAGAACGCTTATTCATGTTTTCGTGCTAGGGAATTCCAAGGGGTTTCCCCAGGAATGTGGAAGTAGTCCGTCAGTGTTTACGTCATTTCAAGAACACGGTCTCGTGAAAAACGTATGAACGTCAAATTGTGTCGTTCATACACTTATGAACGTCAATTTCGCGGTCGTGTGACCGACCTCTTGTCCAATGGAAAAGCCGTATATCGTGTAAACTTCAAACTAAAAAATATTACAAAAATAGAAATACTATGGGTCACAGATATAAAGGTAAACGCCATAATATTTTCATTCACTGGTCATACATTATCTTCCCGATTATCATTCGAGTTCACTCGCTTGCAAGGCATTGGTGCACTTCTGACGTTATCTTTGTTTAAACAGACAAGCGGACACACGCCCCCAGAGACACCGAAGAAGTGTTGTATTGTCGTTGACGTTTTGAGTATCAAATTCTTGTTTGTTTGTTTGTTTGTTGTTTAACGCCGCACTCAGCAATATTCCCGCTATATGACGGCGGTCTGAAAATAATCGAGTCTGGACCAGACAATCCAGTGATTAATATCATGAGCATCGATCCACGCAATTGGGATCGATGACATGCATCAACCAAGTCAGCGAGCCTGACCACCCGATCCCGTTAGTCGCCTTTTACGACAAGCGTAGTCACCTTTTACGGCAAGCATGGGTTGCTGAAGACCTATTCTACCCCGGAATCTTCAGGGGTCTCAAATTCTAGTGTGAGAGAAACACTGCAAATTTACACAAAGTAAACTTCGAAATTTAGGTAATTTTTGAAAACGAGTAATCGATGACATATATCCCTTAATCATTTGTGAATGTCCTAAACGTACTACTAATGTCTTATAAAACATATTAATTCTACGTTACGAATACTATTTGTACCTCTCCAAAGTGAAGTCGACAAACCATGTTCTGGAATTCATGTGGTAATTCTTTTGAACATTTTAACAGCACTGACTAACGGCCACATTCATTATATTTGACCAATGCATGTACATGCGAGGACCTATAAGCCTGAAATCTAACTCATTATAGGAGATATCAAAAGGCTGTGATCCAATGGATATTTGACATTTGGGTTGTGTGCAGTGCAATTCTACCTCGATAATGTACTCCTGCAAATGCACTTATACAAAAGCACTTTTCAAACTTCCAGTTTACCCTGGGATAAACAGACCGTGGGATTCGAGTGGAATGTGATCATGAAAAGTACCTTTTCTGTGAACTGTTCACTTAATCATGTAATGTGCTTTTCGTGAAACTCTAGTATTTGTACTCTAAGACAGATAGAGTATCCGTGACAGTACCATAACGTGATAAAAGAGAAACAGTTGCAAGGCCAATTTTATAAATGCTTCTGTTTCAGTTATGACGACACGTTGTTCCTTTCTTTACCAAACCTTAACAAGACGCGGATAATAGTGAGTGAGTGAGTGAGTTAGTTGGGTTTAACGCCTCATTTAACATAATTTCAGGCAAGCCACGATGCAGGTCGTCTCAGACGTTGACCAATTTGGTGAAACCTACGAGCACAGGTATGGTGCTGACAAACCTAGAAACATAATCGGGGAGAACCGTGATTCGAAAACACGATCATAGGTTTCTGGCGTGTCCAAGGGACGTAATGCTACACAGCGAATTGCGGCGCCTTAGACGACGGGTAATTAATAACGATTAATAACGCAAATAATAATCACTGAAGTCCGACACATTCTCAAACAACACGTCGGGAGGACTAACCCTTGACTTCCAAACGAGATGTAACAGGTCCAAGCTCTTTGCTGTTATACAAACGTCGAACTGCCATGCTACAAGAGTACTCTCCCTTATCCATACACGTGACGTCATCCAGAGACAATTGAAGAAAAGCAGTGGAGAAAGATTCTGTGGCCACCGAACCATTGGCAGTGAACTTTGATTCCGTCATCTCAATGCTTCCATCCTGAAATAAAATAGCCACGGAACTCCCTCCTTTCTTAAGCATTATCGAGTACACCGTGTCCGTCCTCGAGAGTACCAAATCAAGGTGGCATCGTATAGTCACGGGTCGAGAACTGCCTGGACGAATTATCTTCGGCTTGATGTCTAGGATGATCTGGCACCCTGCATAAAAGCATAAAACAATATGCAATCAGAATGAATTGACACGGTATCACTAACAACAAACGTAATGTATCACAAGCCACAATTTCCATAAAAGTGAAATACGCCAACATATATTTTTCGCTCGATTGTTGTTAAACACCGCACCCAACAATATTCCAGCTATATGACGTCAGTCTGTAAATAATCAAGTCTGGACCAGACAATTCAGTGATGGACATCATGAGCATCTATGTACGCAATTGGAATACGATGACATGCATCAGCAGAGTCAGCGAGCCTGACGTCGGTCGCCTCTTACGGGAAGCATGGGTTGCTGAAGACCTGTTCTTTACCCGGATATTCACGGTTCCAAAGGATGTATGTATACATAATCATTCTTCAATGACACTGTTTGAGTGAGTGAGTGAGTTGGGTTTAACGGCGCTTTTAACAGTATTCCAGTTATATCACGGCGTGTCAGCTTAATGTAGGAGGAAAGCCCGAAGTAATGCAGGTCTAAGACGTTTACCACTTCGGTGAAACCCACGAGCACGGGCATGGTGCTGACAAACCTAGAAACATATTTGGGGCGAATCGGGATTCGAACCCACAATCATAGGTTTCTGGCGTGCCCAAGGGACGCAACTCTGCACAGCGAATTGCGACACTGTTTGAAATGCACTGATGACAGCTTTGACTTAAAAAACTGCATACGTAGTGCACACATGGATATTGTAAACATTGATAAACATTGAATATTGTAAGCATTGTTTTAGCGTTTGAAATAATCTATAGCTATCGACTTAGCTTTGTTGGAAAACGTACCAGCGAAGCCCCACTCAGCGAGTACGACGTAGAGTATTGTCCGAGAAAAGTACTCCATGCTGCTGAATGGCAAGGGCCATGCACTCTGCCTGTCGTACGTACAAACTCCGCTCCAAAAGGAAGGTTTCGTTATTGTTCAGAGGTACGTGCACATCATCAGGATACATAGGCGGAAATTATTTGTACAAAGATATAAATAGATTTATTTGTGACATTGACATTCTAGTGAAACAAACCCTGACTGTTTAGATGCATTAAACCTGATTAGAACCAGGCTGCTTGTGGGAAAATATAGATTTGTGTTGATGTTTGTTCTGATATGTTATTAACTGCAAGTGCCCAGACTGATTGGATACACTCATTTCTCCATTTTGGATCTTTAATAATTGCAGTGTACAAACTTGAATATAGTCCCATCATCAATTACCCATTTGCCGTGCTCATTGTCAATAGTGCTTTACATGGGTCTGTAAGGTGTAACGCATACGTATGTGTGGAAATACATGTACATATATTATGTCAGTTTGTATATAAAACCACAATAAGAACATTGCAATTGAAGATCCGGGGTAGAATAGATCTTCAGCAACCCATGCTTGCCGTAAAAGGCGACTATGCTTGTCGTAAGAGGCGACTAACGGGATCGGGTGGTCAGGCTCGCTGACGTGGTCGATGCATGTCATCGATCCCAATTGCGTGGACCGCCGTCATACAGGCCGTATTTACAGACCGCCGTCATATAGCTGGAATATTGCTGAGTGCGGCGTTAAACAACAAAAACAACCAATCCTGACTACGAAGCATGTCAATGTGTGTGTGTTATGTATGTGTGTCGCGGAAAGAAGCCGTGAGAAAACGATGGGCGCGATTTCAAGTAGATGCTTGGGCTTTTGATATTCTATTTCCATACATGCGAGTGAGTGAATATTGTTCATATTGTCGCATTATGTGTATTATTGATGCATGTACAAAATGTTTTAGTGTTTGAACTAATTAGTGTTTCATCCTCAAATCTAGGAGATATAAAAACGCCTCCGTGGTGTAGTGTATTGAGCTAAAGGTTGGTGGTTCGATTCCCGGCCGCGACGAACCATTAGACCTGAAAGATGGTGCTTGTTGTTACCCTGTCTGGGGCTCGCCATTAAGGGGACAGCAAGGACTGACCGGCTCGGAGCCAGAGCGAGAGAGAGAGAGAGTGAGTATGGTTTTACGCCGCTTTTAGCAATATTCCAGCAATATCACGGCGGGGGACACCAGAAATGGGCTTCACACATTGTACCCATGTCGGGAATCGAACCCGGGTCTTCGGCGTGACGAGCGTACGCTTTAACCACTAGGCTACCCGACCGCCCCGCTCGGAGCCAGAATAAAGTGTCTGATCATGAGTGGAGTGTCCATGTTAAACTGCGGCATGGTATCATGGATATAGAACAGGGGGAGTAGTTTGAGCCTGATACTAAAGAACTGGATATAGAACAGGGGGAGGAGTTTGAGCCTGATACTAAAGAACTGGATGTAGGACACAGGGAGTATTCTGAAAATAAAATATACGTTAAGAAAAGTATAGTAATTTAAGAGAGGCACCTGGAGTTATTCCAAATAAAGTTAAATTTAAAACTGTAATAAAATAACTGGTACTAAAACTTCTCACACACAATATTGAGGATTGCTGTTAACCTGAGATTTCAGAATAGAAAATGAGGAAGAGGGGCTGAAAATCTTTATAATACAAGATATGTTTGATCTTTTCTGTAATCATTTTAATGCAAAACAAGGGGAGTCACTTGGGCCCAGTAGGGGACTTAGATGAGCCTAGATGGAGTGTTTTGAGCCTGGGTAAGGGAGTCATGTGAGCCTAGGCTCAGATGACTCTAGAGTCAAATTTAGGGGGAGTCGTTTGAGCCTACTACACCGGCATAGGCCCGGACTAGTACAAGCAGCCACACGCACATGTGCATGGAGGTTGCTATACAAGTGAACTAATCGTGAACGTGACGATATTAATGACAAGTCTTTTCACACCTGTTCCCAAACACCTGTTCCCGTTGATACACTGTTGAAACAACGCACATGTATTATACAGATAATATACCAGTCCTATACAACAGCTGTTTGCGTACTATTATAAATATTACATCTTTCGTTGTCAAAGCGATGGTTGGGACACACCAAACAACAGAAACATATTGCCACAGTTGCGTGTACCAGGCGAAAAATGAATTATACATGCCTTGCAATTGACGATATTGACGAGTATTGATTCGAACGTGAATAAAGAGAACCAAATTATTCCGTCTAATATAATGTGGGTGTTAGGCAATCGTCTACGTTTTCAAATAAACAGGGCGTTTATTGCGTCCGTGTTACCCTGCGTGAAACCAAAACAGTAAATATGTGGCGGCCTGGCTAATGTTATCAGGTAAATCCGTGTCATCTTGACCCGGCCTCTTACAACACTGCACAGCTGGAAATTACGTTGGGACACAGCCAGACATATGTAGCCTTGAACTGCAGCCGGACTGCACACTACAACCATGAGTATGAGTAGTATACTGCGTGTTTCATACACGATAATGATGTGTTTGTTTTGTTTGTTTCTTGTTTCACGCCAAGCATAGTCACCTATTACGGCAAGCATTGGTTGCTGAAGACCTATTCAACACCGGATCTTCACGGGTCTGATAAGGATATGAATAAAACTGCAGATAGAATTATCTCTAAATCATAAACAGGAACTGAGATGAATAACGATGTTATCCAAAGTGGTGTTTCGTTTGTTTGTCGTTTAATCGCGCACACAGCTATTTGACGGCGGTCTGTAAATATTCGAGGACCAGGCAATCCAGTGATTGGGTTGCTGAAGACCAGTTCTAACCTGGATCTTCACGCTTGGCAAAGTGATGTAATATTACATTTAGAATGTTTAGTACTACGCTATTAAAATGGCATACTCACAACTTTGTTGAAATGTTATTAATATTAAGTGCATGTCAAACGAGGCATCAATATACCCCGATTACTGCTGCAACGTATTTATCTTGCCGACGTGTTTCAATCTAAAAGAAATAAAAAAATGACAGAAAATAGCTGTTCCATTGAGCTGAGGTAAACTTGTGCCGTGTCACGTGACTTTCATTGACTCGTAAACAGCCGGTAATGTGTTGCTTAGTCTCGTGATCCAACAGGTTTGTTCGCCTCCTCAAGTGCAGATTGTCGTGTCGGGGCATGGGGGATTTCTCCCGCTCAGGCATGTATTACCTTCCCAGGCGGGATACGTAGTATTTTATCAAGATTACGTGAGCCAATCAGATCAACACTCTGACACGGAGGTAAGGTAAATGAGATTGTTGTTGGAGCAGGTACAAAGTGTCCACTGTATTTCAATGCTGTATTGTACGGTGGCCCATAAGGGACATGGAGTCTGTTTTTCAATATTTTGATGTTTCACTTACTTTTATTGTAACCTTGTGCAAATTTACTATGTCTGTCTGCATACATGGATGAGCGTTTCTGCATCTTGCGTGAGTTCCTGTGTTGGAACTTGTTATCATGATATGTTGCTGTGACAATTATACACATAAAAGTGGCCTAAAACATTCTGATAAACAAACGACTACATTATAATTACGACTTCAGGGGCTATGTTAACGTCGATGTGCCTAACCTGTATGACATATTGCAACTTATCTCCTGTACTCAGCCTACTGTTTTAGTGAGTGAGTGAGTTGGGTTTAACGCCGCTTTTAACAGTATTCCAGTTATATCGCGGCGTGTCAGCCTAATGTGGGAGGAAAGCCCGAAGTGATGCAGGTCTCAGACGTTTACCACTTCGGTGAAAACCACGAGCACGGGTATGGTGCTGACAAACCTAGAAACATAATCGGGGCGAACCGGGATTCGACCCCACAATCACAGGTTTCTGGCGTGCCCAAGGGACGCAACTCTGCACAGCGAATCGCGGCGCCTTAGACAACTCGGCCACCCGTGCCGCCCCAGTGAGGAATGTCAACTAGAACGTTATTGCTATGCATGCCCTAAGACAGTATCAGTACTGCGTCAGTTTGACCTGTGGGTTTTGACTGACTGTAATTTTTTATCTATGAACTTTCTATGCTATAGTTAAATATAACTATCGCGACTCTTGTGTATAATGCTGGCCTAAAATTCGTTCCTGATTCTGTGTTGAGGTGACTCACGTTATTGTTCACATACAATAAATGTATTACATGTGAGAGTGTTCTGTGCTTCAGACGGCATGGAAATGACACGATTTGCAACGGGTTTGACAGCGCTGTATACAATATGTAAGTATGGACAAAATAAGACTCAACCGATAATGTGTCAACACAATAACGTCTCAACTATTTCAGACATTTTTGTATGTTTTGTGGGGCGGTCGGGTAGCCTAGTGGTTTAAGCGTTCGCTCGTCACGCCAAAGACCCGGGTTCGATTCCCGACATGGGTACAATGTGTGAAGCCCATTTCTGGTGTCCCCCGCCGTGATATTGCTGGAATATTGCTAAAAGCGGCGTAAAACCATACTCAGTCAGTCAGTCAGTCAGTCAGTATGTTTTGTTGTTTAATGGAATGGTTCTGAAATTTCAGTTTGCACAAGTCACATTACTGCTGGATCCCCCGTGCGGACCACTGTGGACTGTCAGGCGTCTAAATATATCAATAACTATCAGAAGATTTTCTCCATTTCTATTGAAATATTCAACGTGACAGTCGTTCAGTTGGAAAAAAAGAAAGACCCCGTAGTTGTTCCCAACGACAAATACACCATAAGCAACATTACCGGACAACTAACTGACAATGATGTGTACATCAGAGGAACGGCTTTCCTAGAGTGTGAACTCGCGAGTACTATATATTGTGTTGTGTATGGCTACTCAGATTCTGCTTACACACATGTACGATTTAAGCCGGATACTGAATTTGATGGTAAGACTATTATGCATCGTGTTACCCGTGAAGATCCGGGTCAGAATAGGTCTTTGGCAACTCATACTTGTCATAACGAAGCCGGGTGGTCTAAAAAGTAATATTCATTACTTTGCCACCCGAGAAGATTCTGGTTAGAATTGGTCTTCAGCAACCCATTCACTGGATAGCCTGGTCCAGACTCGTTTACAAACCGCCGAAATATAGCTTGAATATTGCTGAGTGCGGCGTTAAATAACAAACAAAAAAACAAATATATTGTGTTCACATGTTAATCGTTGTTTATACACAGAATTATTTTATAATCTAACATAATAAAATTCCATGTCCAATATTATCATAAATTGCGAAAATAAGAATTTATAAGGAATTTAATTTCTGTTTGTTTATGTGTTATTGTAATCATTCACTTGCCATTTTACCCCGTGAAAATGGGGCTGGAGTTAACCTTCAGCAAACCATGCTTGTCATAAGTGGCGAAGGGCTGGTCAGGCTCACTGACTTGGTTGTCGTATCCAAATTGCGTAGGTCGATGCTCACGATGTCAATCATTGGATTATCTGGTCCAGACTCGGTTATTTCGGTTACTCGTCGTCATAATAAGTGGAATGTTGCCGACTGTGTCGTTAAACATCAAACAAACAATTATCCATTTCAGTTACCTGGGAAAATGTCTCTATTACACGAAGAAGGGTTCTATTCAATGACAGCAGATACATCACAGTTCTGACATGCGCATTAGAGGCTGGATCCAGAACAACGGAGATGTGGTGGCAATCTCGTTCGTCTGACGAGACTTTTTTGAAACTTGATCCACGTTCATATAATGTCACGAGAAGAGTCGGACCTGGTTGCCATGTGCACGTGCTCAGTGAACTAAGACAGGAGGCAGGCGAAGGGCAATCGCAGTTCAAGTGCATGTTTGGAGCTTTTGAAGTGGGATCAGTCGCAGTTGGAGAAACCAACCAAGGTACCAACTATGCCTCAACTTGTATCACGTTACCTCCAACTTGTTTCGTTTTCAAAACCAATAACAAATAGACCTACTGCATCAGATATATATACACACAAATACACACCCATATATATGGACCCGTGAAGATCCGGGGTAGAATAGGCCTTCAGCAACCCATGCTTGCCGTAAAAGGTGACTAACGGGATCGGGTGGTCAGGCTCGCTGACTTGGCTGATGCACGTCATCGATATCAATTGCGTGGATCGATGCTCATGATGTCAATCATTGGATTGTCTGGTCAAGACTCGAATATTTACAGACCGCCGTCATATAGCTGGAATATTGCTGAGTGCGGCGTAAAACAACTAACCAACCAACCAACCAACCCATATATATACACACACACACACACACACACACACACACACACACATATATATATATATATATATATATATATATATATATATATATATATATATATATATTAGCATGTCAGCTTGATGCGGGAAGAAAGCAAGACTCACTCTGTTACAGAAAATTTATTGACTGTCATGTCGTGTATGAGCTGATCATGTTATATTGAAAAAAGGAATATACAGTCAAATACCGTTGTGTGAAACTTACGGTTGTCTCAAAGTAAATTCTTGGTCCCTGCGTATTCCTGATTTATTCATCATTTTTGGTTGTGTCGAACTAGTGATAACCCGAAGTATTTACGCATGTTCCTTCAACTTCGACACAACGATGTCTGACTGTACATGAATTCCTTCATGTTTCCGTTAAACGATACACACTTGCATTCATACTTATTGAAATAAAATGATTTACTTTACAGAACCTGACAATATACTTAGTTCCCATCTTTTCCTATCGACGGGGTTCTTGGTGTACCCACATTTTGTCATCCTGCCACCTTTCTGTGACTTTCTACAGATGAAAAACATCATTCCGCAAAATTTCCGAGATCCAAGTAAGACGTTTTATTTCTTTGTGACACCTTGCAAGTATTCACATTGACTGTGAGTAAGTGAGTGAGGTAATATTTCACTCTCTATCCAATTAACGACGATAACATTTTATATATGTGTTTAAATTCTTTTGTTAATAGCACGTACAATTTAGTTCAATGGTGGAAACTCTACAGATTTTGCTAGTTGATATTGTAAACTTTTAGGCACCATCAAACACGGTTGTATTCTTTTTTTGCCAGGCAGTTTAGTTGTATTCCGTGTAAAGTTTTGATATCTGCAGAGTACATGTTAGGATGTGTCCCTTGGGAGTATTGACTATATGTTGAGTTATCCATTGTTGGAGACAACCAGGTTGCAAATTTTAGACTGTAGTGCTGATATTTCTGTCGGAAAGTGAAGTGAAATCACCTATAAAACTACGTATTGCGATAATGGATTGTGAGTGTTTATTTACTCCATGAACTCACATCACAATATTTCAGAAACAACGAAAAGTAGAAAGCGCAGAGCCTGGATTTCATTAATCACGGGCATTATATTTCTTGTATGGTGGATAATTGTGATTCAAGGTGCTCACACATCAGGTAATTGCATTTTGAAGTAATTATTCTTTACGTAAGTTGTATAATGTTTTCTTCATCCAAGAGTTGGAGTCGGAGTTGACAACACTAATACATTTTGATTTCCTGTTTTATTGAGATGTGGTGACAGGACACCTTCTGTAATCGATATATCATACATTGATTGAACTATGTTTAATATTTCAATTTATTTATTTCCAGGTTACGTTTGTTTTTTGGTTATGGAATCATTGTTCTTCATTCTTTATGCTGTTGTCCGACTGCTGCCTGAAAGCTTCGAGAAAGACGGTATGTAATAAGAATTACCGGTAATACCGGGTGTATGGGGTTACTGACGGCTACTGACTCGTAAACTTATCAGAATCATTGCATCAAATTCACATATTGTGTTTATTATACCTCTTCGCAGTTGGTAGGTAATACCATTGCGTCATTTTCATGGTATCATATGTAAAATATTACCTTACACCCAACTACAAAGAGGACGAATTAAAAGATTAACAATATGCTTCATAGGCAAGCCAGGTCCGCGTTATTAATATTAATTGACACATCGTAAATAGAACAAAGCATCCTACGTCTTGTTTAATCTGTTATTTTTTGTAAATGATCATGATCTGGTTCTGCATTTGACTATCATTGCAGGTGAAAGACTTCTCTACAACTGTAGAGTAGCACTATCCTGCGGAGCTGTCATAACTCCGGGTATCTGTTGGATGATGATCAGAACCCAGATGCAACTAGATTTCTCCATACAGGGTATATATCTGTTACAGCTGTCATAACTCCGGGTATCTGTTGGATGATGATCAGAACTCAGATGCAACTAGAGTTCTCCATACAGGGTATTATATCTGTTACAGCTGTCATCACTCCGGGTATCTGTTGGGTGATGATCAGAACTCAGATGCAACTAGAGTTCTCCATACAGGGTATTATATCTGTTACAGCTGTCATCACTCCAGGTATCTGTTGGGTGATGATCAGAACTCAGATGCAACTAGAGTTCTCCATACAGGGTATTATATCTGTTACAGCTGTCATCACTCCGGGTCTGTTGGATGATGATCAGAACTCAGATGCAACTAGAGTTCTCCATACAGGGTATTATATCTGTTACAGCTGTCATCACTCCGGGTCTGTTGGATGATGATCAGAACTCAGATGCAACTAGAGTTCTCCATACAGGGTATTATATCTGTTACAGCTGTCATCACTACGGGTATATGTTGGGTGCACGTGATGATCAGAACTCAGATGCAACTAGAGTTCTCCATACAGGGTATTATATCCAGAGACTATAATAAAGTCGTAGTGTGGACTAAATGCATCTGATTATTGTATTAAAATATTATATATAACTGTAATACAATATTAACACATGTAAAAATATTTCTACGCCATTTATGTGCATATACTGAAACTTATATGTTATGTTTGCAGAAGGTGTCTGGTTGGTGGTGACAGCCATTTCACTCATCGCCTTCGTTTCTGTTTCCAACAAGAGAGAATGGAAGTCATGGGATAAGCGCAGTTGATAGCCTTACAGATTATTTAAGGCATTACATATGTACATTTTTATCTGAGCAAGTCATGTAGATATAATCCATGTCACGAGGCTTAATATCGTGTCTCATTTTCTTTGCAAAAGATATTCGATTAATACAGACTAACAGTCAAAGCTGTGGCTAAAATTAAATGAATTCCCTTTTACGAAACGTCATCTTGCCTGGCGTTATACCACTGTATGGGATCGCGTTTTTATGTATTATGTGTTAATAACTGCTCCTTGCGCAATGGAAAGTTCAGTGACTGTCTTCTTTTTACAATGTACAATTACATCAATTCACAGGGTGAACACACATGTTTTTATGTTCACTAATCTCGGAACTATCACCAATACATACTGAAGATTCCGGGGTAGAATAGGTTTTCAGCAACCCATACTTGCCGTAAAAGGCGACAATGCTTGTCGTAAAAGGCGACTAAAGGGATCAGGTGGTCAGGCTCTGGTCCAGGCTTGATTATTTACAGACCGCCGTCATATAGCTGGAACATTGCTGAGTGCGGCGTTAAAAAACAAACAAACAAACAAACCTATTTTTTTCCTAAGTTTTATTCTAATATACAACAAGTGTCAGTTTCTAAAATAACTCAGGTCGATTATTTACATCCGCATTTTATTTTACAGAAACTGTATACAGTCTGTTTTATTATTCTTTGTCCAGCACTTGTATGGAGAGGTCTCATTCCAACATAACGATATAGACAGTTATTGTTGCATTGGGAGTAATAAAATATTTTTTAAATATAATGGCTAGTGTTATCGATGCGATAAAGCAATCCGGTAAACGTGGTATCACGATCCGATAAATATGCAAATGAGGTCATGAAATCACTTGGCAGGAACTACTTTTAGTAAGCTCTGTACAACAATGCCTCGTTTATTTGCTCAAAAACTATTTTAAAACGTTCCCTCAATGAGAAGATAGCGGTTTCCCAATGAGTGAGTGGTTACGTGAACAGACATGTCTGCAAGTCATTTGGCACTATATCAAAAATGAGGCAGTTCACTCAGTCTGTATAATCCTACGCGGTTTCTGAACTGACTATAGTGATGAGCAATTATAACTTAAACTTCGATGCTCGCATAATACAATATTTAGTTCTAATATTTAAAACTCATGATACAAAAACAGATCAGACTAACAATCTCAATATCCTATCGTACCTTAGAAAGGCTTTCATACTTGTCTTGTGTACGCCAGCCTGTTCGAAGTGAATCCTGAGAACAGTTATAGCATTCGTTGACAGTCAAATTGTTTCGTCTTTGCAATACAAACTTTACCGTACATGCATGGGATCAGTGGTATCACGGTAGATTCATGTTTTGTTTTGTTTGTTTGTTGTTTAACGCCGCACTCAGCAATATACCAGCTATATCATGGCGGTCTGTAAATAATCGAGTCTGAACCAGACTATCCAGTGATTTACATCAAGAGCATAGGTCCACGTAATTGGGATTGATGCCATGCATCAACCAAGTCAGCGAGCCTGACCACCCGATCCTGATAGTCGCCTCAAGATTACGACCTTTTCTACCCCGGAATCTTCACGGTAGATTCATGTATGCTGCTGTGGTCAAGACAGATGGTTGACAGCAGCAACACATGGACGGCCTGATGCGTCACTACACGACAGAAATCGCCACGAAAACACATTGTACTTTATCAATAAAAGAATATGAATTTAGCTTTGTGACGTGTGTGAGCGAATACCCATACAACCAACTTGGCTATCTTTCTGTGCGACACTGAGCCATACAACCAAGATATTTACCTCTAACACGGCAGGATCACTGTCTGATACTGTATGTATACACGTATTGTTGTTAAATATTGTTAAATATTGGTGTAAAATTTTGAAAATGCCAGAATCTAGATATGTAAAGAAATGCTATAATATGCAACTGCAAACTGTAGGTAATGGTAAAGTAAACTGGGTTTCCAAAATTAGACACATTATTGTGTCAGCAGGATTTGGTTTTATATGGGATCAACAGTTTGTTGCAAATATACCTTTGTTTATAAAGGATTTTTTGTGAGACTGAAATTATCGTACCAACAAGACTGGCATTCAGCTATACATGAAAGTTCGAAATCATATTATTATTCTTTGTTTAAGCAAACATTTGGTGTTGAAATGTATATTACAAGGCAATCATGTGATAAATTTAGAAGTATTATGGCTCGTTTCAGATGTAGTTCTAAGAATTGAATCAGGTAGACATAATAAGGAACCTAGAGAAGAAAGAGTTTGTACTGTTTGTAAACATGATTATATCGAAGATGAGTATCACTTTATTTTAATTTGTGATTGTTATCAAGTTTTGAGGTCAGAATATATATCCTTGAATTATTATGAGTTCCCGACAAGACATAAGTACAATATTTTAATGTCATCCACCAACCCATTTACTGTTAAGAAACTAGCCATGTATATTCTGAAAGCTATGAATCTAAGGCAAAGTCTGTTGGGATCTCCAACTCCCATCACCACACTGTAACCATTGTATCATGGGCCTATGGCCTACAATACATCTGAATAAAGTGTATAATAACGCCTTTCTTTTTTTCTTTGCCAACGTGAAGCGACTGAAGTATGTAGTTGTTGAAGCATGCACTACGCCATTTTGTTTAAATTTCTTTGTTTACAAGAAGCGTGTTCCAGGAAACAACAATGATAAAATCTTGACCTGTTAAAATCCATCGTATTTGACATACACTAACTGAGATTTGTGGGTTATTTTCGATATAGGTCAACAGAACATTGTGTGCACTTCACATGTCGTTTCTTGTCAGCTGTTTTGAAAAAGCTTAGCGGAACATCGTGCAATGCCATTGAACGATATATAGTTTATTTAACAAAAAAAACCAACATATATTCAGGTACTTCACATGTCATTCACAAGTAGCTCCTTTTATTAAAGTCCGTGAGAATATCTAAATGCACTCCTTTCATAAATGATCAGTCGGATGTGTTCATGTGTTATGGCAACTCGCAAGAACAACTTCATGCACGTCAATAACATTTTTCCGGTACTTCCCAATACTTTCCTTCTCGGCTCTTTGAGACGCAGACGAATCCAGTAAAGCATCCGATCGTCACCAACCAGAAAAAGGCCTCTAAAATGTTATGTACACGAGACTGTAAACATATTTATTTAGATGATCTGATCATTATTTTTCCAAAACAATATTAATTTATCACTTTATGAAACAATGCTTTCCAAACGAAATTTGATTTTTTGTTATCTAACGCCGCAATCAGCAATATTTCAGTTATATGACGGCGGGCTGTAAATAATCGAGTCTGGACCAGACAACCCAGTGATTGACACAATGAGCATCGATCCTCGCAATTGGGATACGATGACATTCATCAACCAAGTCAGCGCCTTAACACCCGATCCCGTTAGTCGCCTCTGACGACAAACATATAGTCGCCTTTTACGGCAAGCATGGGTTGCTGAAGACCTATGGTGAACAGATGAAGCAAATAAATGTTTACCTACCAAGTCCTATGATGCTAGTGCCTCCATAACACCTGATCATAATCCAGCATATAGAGGGCGTCATTGTCGCCCCATAGGAAGTGGCTACTCTGATATTGTACAAATATCTCTGACCTGTGAACATGAAATGTATGAGTTAGAAAGGTCTTTGTGTCCACCTAAAATTACTCTCCCTGCACAATGTCACCGTTGCGCTGCCTGAATAAAACACCCACAAATATTGACGTTGTTATCACATTGTATTGTTTCATCACTTGTGATACACAAAGGGTTGGGACCTATTTCTCGAACGGATATAGAAGGTTAAAGATGTTATTATTTGCAAATGTCTGTCAGAAAATATGAGTGTGCATAAAATTAAATTCTGGGAAATAGTACAACGTTTCGTATACAAAGCCACAATGAACAATAAAGATCTTACGTTTTTTTTCGAAGCGCCTGGACAAGTTTGCAATGAACCTCGTGAGGGTGTAGCCCAGTACGAAGACAAATTCGATCACAGCATACATGAAATAACCTGTGTACATGAATACACATGATTAGAAATAGGGCAACAAAATCTAACTACAATAATTTGATAATTGAAAACTAATAATTTATATCGACCTGATAGTTTTCTGATGAAACAAAATAACTAACCTAATGATCTGAGAAGATGGTCTCTTAGTATTATGATCCACCATATGAAGAACGTGAGGCCCACAAGGAATGACATAGCCGTACGAAATCTGCGCATACACAATCGCTCTGAAAATATGAATAATAATGATTCTTACCTGAAAAAAAAATCATCATACAAAAAATTGTATGATCATCGATTCGACATGAAGATCAATGACAAGATATTTCAATTCTTAGTGCATTTTCAAGAACAGGGTACGTTATTTAAAATATATTCTCACCTGGTTTTCGGAACGTTACTTTGTCTCCAAACAGAGCAAATACACATGGCAACATGATGAAATGCACGTACACTAACATGCTCGATAGAAACAGATGGGTACTGTGATTATCTGGAAATAGAAACTTAACCGGTGCATATCTAAATAATTAATCTATCTTATTACTGGATGATAATGCTTGATTGAGCCATATCTCTTGATAATCGAGATATTAAGAACATCCACACGAACATATGCCCAACATATTCTTAGAGCCATTGAAATGAAACATGAAAGATATATGAAACGTCAACGCGCAAGAATAGCCAATCTCGATTATCGGACGAAACAGTTTGCATTAGTTGGCAATATAGCGATGAAAATAAAATGAATGGATCACTGGAAATCAGTAATGACACCAGGGCCCACTTGCACAAAGCGATCTTAGCGCTAAGATGATCGTAACTCCAATACTTTAGCATAGGCTTACAATAGTCTTAGCGCTAAGATCGTTTTGTGCAAGTGGGCCCAGGTGTTCGCGACAAGGGTAATTAACATCAAAATGTTAACCCGATTTAGTCCTACAATGCAACTTTTCACAGTCATTAATGTCATTATAAATTCTTATAATGTATGTACTAGTCAGTGCATTATAACAGTTCATAGTTAGTAAGATAAAAACAATGACAAACCCCTGCCAGTTCTGATTGTGAGAGAAGTTGACCTTGACCTATCGTTTTCAGCGATACACTTCAGAGTTATGTCCCCATGTTCTGTGAGCACGTGAACATATTTACTGACAGCATGGTAGGAACACTCTGATAGAGTCACAGTACTTGCTTGAGGGCTGTCACCAGGAACGGGTTGGAAGCCTGTGATATCTGAGTGACTGATCACCCATTGCAGTCTAGTTCTGTTAACTCCAAACAGCGCAGAACATGTGAACAGCACGACATCACCAACGCCGTATGTCTCCTTCACGGGCGTCTGGGTGATTGAAAGATTGCTTGTAGCAACTACAACATAAAAATACAAATAGCTATCATTCATAAGGCATTCATAAAAACAGTACCGTGGATTGCTGAACATATTTTTTCAACTCATAACTGCTGCGTTGCATCTGTAGAGAAATATACAACATGCATAGATGGTGCTTCACCACAGGGTGATGCATATACCAGATTTTGATCTCTTTCACTTAAACATAAACAGGGGGCACGGGTGGTCCAGTCGTCTAAGGCGCAGCGATTCGCTGTGCAGAGTTGCGTCCCTTGGGCACGCCAGAAACCTATGATTGTGGGTTCGAATCACGGTTCGCCCCGATTATGTTTCTAGCTTTGTCAGCACCATACCCGTGCTCGTGGGTTTCACCGAAGTGGTAAACGTCTAAGACCTGCATCACTTCGGGCTTTCCTCCCACATGATATAACTGGAATACTGTTAAAAGCGGCGTTAAACCCAACTCACTCAATCACTAAACATAAACATATTATAAATAAAAGCGACAAAGCCAGTCCATAACCATAATAAATCTCTGCTAAGAGAAGAGTCCACCAAATCTTAAGCACATTTGCAAGGTGAGTGTCAAATTGTGAAATGTCGTCCCAAAGTCTACAAGAAGCGTCTGGAGAGTTTCAGTATGGCCCTGTGTTTTATAAGCCAGATCAAACAAGTTTTGAGCAAGGGTAGCATAATGCTCTTTGAAATCTTCGTGGAAATATTGCGTGATTGCACTGACCAATTCATTAATCAATGATACTTGTGAACATTTGTTTTCCATTTAACATCTACAACATGACAGACAGACATTCGTCATTACAATGTTCACATAAATTGAATGCGGAAAGAATGAGTTAACTGTGTCCTACCATTAAATTCCAGTTGCGGCGTGATTGTCAAATTACTGTAGGATGTTGGGTTGTATACCATTCCAAATGATTTACATCGAATATGTTGGACATCGCTGCATTTGATGTTAAGGCTTGCTTTGAGAATTCCAACTTCATCTGTTATATTTCCAAAAGGACTGGAAACAATTCCACTGTTAACTTGAACATCGACCATGTCGTTACTAAGGAACATCAACTGTGTCGTGTTGATAAATAGGTTCATTGAGAAAAGTCTAGAAAGTTGTTCACATTTACACTCGACGTTTACGTTTATGGCAGGTGCGGTTTTCGCCAGCAACACTGGAAAAAATAGAAGATATATGGCATGGCTAAACATTTTAAAGTTTAACTTCACCTCTGGAAAATATGCTCAGGGAAATAGTCCCAAAATAGTCCCAAGCCCATCAAGAAACTGTGTACATTTTTTTCTCATAACATTTGCTCATTATAATACAATGCAGGTGTATAAAGTTTGACATGATATTCTTTTGGTAAATACGAAGGTCGGGATCATTAAAAAAGTCAAGCAGCGTTTAACTTGATTTTTATGCCTTAGACGGGGGCGGTGGTGTAGCCTAATTGTTACTGTGTTATCTCGTCACGGCGAAGGCCCTGATTCGATTTACAGCATGAGTACAACGTGTGAAGAAAAACCTCCAAACCCTTTTCATATCCAATAGAAAAGTCTGCTCAAAGCAGAGTCAATTGTACTATTCCGACTATAGCATAAGCATATGTTTATGAATCACTACTAAATAGTGATAACACCAGGTGAAACCCATTTGAGCTGTCCCCCATCGTGATAAACGGCAGCATTAACTAGCAAATGAAAGCGACAAAACCAAAAGAATTCTCTGCGGAACACATCTCAGTTGAATGATATTCAATTTACATTCAGCTACTATTAACCAACTAGTATACCTTGCTTATCATTATTATCACAGCTGGTAGAATAGACCCATGCTTGCTGTAAAAAGCAACTATGCTTGTCGTAAATGGCGACTAACGGGATCGGGTCGTCAGGATCGCTGACTTGGTTGATGAATGTCATCGATCCCAATTGCGTGGATCGATGCTTATGATATTAATCACTGGATTGTCTGGTCCAGACTCGATTATTTACAGACCGCCGTCATATAGCAGGAAGATTGCTAAGTGCGGCGTTAAACAACCAACCAACCAACCAAAATGTTTAAGGCACTGAAGCAAGTGCTATTCCAATAAGGCTGAAATATTGCCGACGTGACTTTACATTTAATTCTCTCTTACAGAATGGATTATGTGTCCTTAAACTCATTGGAGTTATTGTAGCAACTATGCACTTATCTAAATCAAGATATTGATATTTCAATGCAATTTAGTGTTTGAATAAATTATTTACATTGTAGATAAGGCCAAAGAACAAGTTAAACACACTCACCGCAAACAGCTACACACTTGTAAAATGCCGCCATGGCTCACGTTTCACTTTGTGACATTTAGCTGTGGAGTAATGATACTGTGTGTTAAAACAAGCAACAACAAAATATAGCGTTGACAGCGTCAAAAACGTTTCATTGATAGATAAAACCTTGTAGGCGAACGTGAATGAAACTGCTTACCTCCTCTCTCGGAAACCGAGCTGCCGTTGATATCCCGACAGTGTCAAAGTGTATAGCTTAGGGTATGTACGGCACACTGTTTATGCCATAAAACACATGTTCTCGTCAGGATTATGTCCCAAGTTAATCATGGTGATTACCTATTGCTAACAAGTATAAAAACATAAATGTTTTTGCATTGAACACAAACTGACAGGCCACATAACGCTGTTTGTATATGTAGAAAAATAAAGATTGGTTGGTTTGTTGTTTAACGCCGCACTCAGTAATATTCCAGCTATATGACGGCGGTCGTAAATAATCGAGTGTGGACCAGACAATCCAGTGATTTATATCATGAGCATCGATCCACGCAGTTGGGATCGATGACATGCATCAGCCAAGTCAGTGAGCCTGACGACCCGATCCCGTCGCCTCTTACGACAAGCATAGTCGCCTTTTACGGCAAGGATGGGTTGCTGAAAATCTATTCTACCCCGGGTCTTCACAGGTCAGATCTGAATCATGTGCATGTGTACATATATATAGGATAGGAGCACAGCGGCCATTTGAAGTGTTTCACTGTAAACAGAGATATACACACGTACTTGCAATTACCCTCAGAGATTCTCAGAGAAACTGAAATTATAGCTATTAAGTATAATGGTCAGTGGAGTGGAGTACAAATGAATATGCAAGCCTACCAGACGTTATTGAATCCTTTACATGTGTTCACAAAGTGAGAAGGAAGCAGTCGATAACGCAACTACATGTAGCTTTCAATCTTTTGTACTTGCGCAACCACTGAAACACGGACAAGCCAGTTAACAATAGATGGCCTTGGTTTTGAAAACGCCTGTCGGTGCGGGGAATATATAGCAGTGAATGAATGTCAACATGACATAAGGCATGAGAGGTGTCGATGTAGAATTGCACCCCCGAACAAAACCTACCCCCGGTGAGTTGCCATGTCAAAGTGTCGGGTGTTACCCGTCCAGTAAAATACAAACAATTAATATAAATTGCATGATGATTATGAACTGTCCCGATGCATCTGTTGTCAAATGGATACACTACATGGAGTGTGATATTCTGTTAACTGGATGATCATTATATGATGAGGCATGGTGTATTATTGTGTATGAATGAATGTGGATTGTTTGTACTCCAACTTGCTCTCCTCTGTTTAGGGGGCGGTGGGGTAGCCTAGTGGTTAAAGCGTTCGCTCGTCACGCCGAAGACCCGGGTTCGATTCCCGACATGGGTACAATGTGTGAAGCTCATTTCTGGTGTCCCCCGCCGTGATATTGCTGGGATATTGCTAAAAGCGGCGTAAAACACACTCACTCAGTCACTCACGCCTCTGTTTAGGCCAATCTTTAACTGTTGTTAATTTCCCAATCACCCAACTATCTTTAACCGATGTAAACCATGAGCAGCGTCAAGAGGTGAGGTGAAATTGGGTTTAACGTCGCGTCCAAGATAATTGCACTTATATAGCGCGCGCGCGTGTGTGTGTGTGGCTTCTTGTACTAGTCCGGACTGATGTCGATTAATAGTGCTAGCCCACTGAGATGTCGATTTATAGTGCTAGCCCACTGATATGCCGCAGGTTAACATGAATACCCCACTCAGACACAGTATACTGACTCCGAGCCGACAGTCCTTGTTTTAGCCCCTTAATGCCGAGCGCCAGAGAGGGTGCGTACAATCTTTTAACGTATTTTGGTATGACGCGGCCGGGGATCGAATCACTTTGAAGACAGTAGCCTTGGACGTTAGCTTGAATCATCACTATTTGAAAATGATTCATAAACGCATGATTATGATGTGATCGGAATCGTACTTTGGATTTAGTTTTAGTTTTATATTAGTAGAGATTTTTCACGATTTTTTGAATGTTATTTGTCGCTTTTATTATTTTTGTCATCCTCAACTTCCTTATACACGGCATATCAACATACACACATGCACTTTGTAATTTATTCGAAATGTGAATATTTCAGTGAATATGAAAACAGTTTCGTTAAACTATGTCACTGTTGCAATTGTGAAAGCGATGTGAGGTGAACTAATGTTACTGTGTTGAATACTTCTTTTCCCTGTTTACAGTGCATTCTGTCACATGGAGATTCCTAGTAATTCCTATGCTGGTCATATGAAGCGAGGGAATGGATCCGGTGGTCGGGCCCGCTGCCTTGGTGGATTGCATGTCATCGTATTCCACTTGCGCAGATCGACGCGCTTGACGCCAATCACTCGATTGTCTGGTCCAGGCTTTACTACTTAAAGGCCGGCGCCACTTTGCTTGAATAGTGCTGAGTGCGGCAATAAAAAGAACACAGTGCGTTATGTTGTTGTATATATGAGTGGCACGATTACGAAGACTAAGAATTAGTCCAACATATGATGACCAGGATCCATGCGGTGTTTAATTGTAAATATAGTCAATACATGACAGACAGCATGTGATCATAAGGTTCAACAGGATGTTATAAATCTTTGTGTTTATCTCCATTTATTCGCATCAAGAAGGTAGACATGTCCGGCGACTATACACAAATCATATGAGCAAGCTGTGTGTTGACTTATAACACGTAGTTCGGGGGGCCGCCATCAGTTACACAGCTCTCTTTCCCCTTCTTGGGGCCCTCTCATATGTTGCCGGTAGAAGTTCACAATTCACTGTGGGGGCGCTTCTTTTTAGATGGATTCCACCGAAATACAGTTCCTGTTTTAATGCCTTTTCCTATAATGTAAGCAACAATGAGTGAGTGAGTGAGTATGGTTTTACGCCGCCTTTAGCAATATTCCAGCAATATCACGGCGGGGGACACCACAAATGGGCTTCACACATTGCACCCATGTCGGGAATCGAAACCGGGTCTTCGGCGTGACGATCGAACGCTTTAACCACTAGGCTACCCGACCGCCCCTGTAAGCAACAAATCTCCCCATAGTTACGAGCATGTTATAACTACCCCAGTGTCACTCCCCATGTGTTCCAAGCAAGAAGATAGACATGTCCTGCCACCATATACAAATCATATAAGCAAGCTGCGCTTTGACTACTTACACGTAGATAGGGAACCCGCCATCATTTACACACTTCGCTCTTTGAACCTACTCAGTAATATACATTTCTATGTGAGGGCGTATCTTCCAATTTTGATTTCGGCGAAATACATTTTAACTATATTAATGTTTTACCTATAATCTAAGCGACATAACTTTTTTTAAATTATAAGAATTCCCTAAAACAACAATTTTACAAAAGAACACAGACTATTTTACGATTCCGACTATGCCTTCAGCAGAGGATTTACCTGAGTCTATCTTTTTTGGAGTCTAAAAGGATTCCCAGAAATAACTTTTCGGGGTCCAAGGCTAGCGAATTGTGACAGGCTTCACTCGATTTCCAAGATTTATTGCTGTCAATTCATCGCACAAGTTCGGCCGTAATAGATAGAGATAGAAAAACATTTCCATAATCAGACGAAATCTCTGCAAGAGTACACTGCACAATTCCGACCATAGCATAAGTACATAGTATAGCCAGACGAATCGGCTGGTAGATGCATATTACAACGGCTGCAGAGATAAACTTGCTTAACAATAAACAATTAATGCTTTAAATAAAGAAAACAGGATAATTCACATGCTTAGATTACCTCAATCTTATTAAAATCAGATACAAGTTCTCGCTGTCGACGAGGACATCCCATTACAGGTCACGTCAGAACAACCTTTCGCGAACTATGACCTACCAATGAAATGACCAACAGGAAGTCGACGTCAGCCATTAAGAAAGCAGCTTTCTTAAGCTTTAGGTACCAGTTTCAAAATTGCGACTTCCATTCCAGACTATGCTTTTTAAAGTATTTTGAATCGGTCATACAGTCCGTAACAGTTGTTTTGTGTTAAACTTTAGAGGTTGCATGATTGGAAAACATATTCCGCCAACAATGTAACATAACAATATGAATATGTATTTTATATTATTTATTACGTGTTTGAATCCTTATCTATCGTGTAGTTGTCCGATTTTCGATCACGAACGTTAATACTACTAAATTTCGTTTATCCGACATACTCGTTAATCCGACATAATCATTTGCAACCATCGATGTCGGATTAACTGGACTTGACTGTATGTGTTTATAGGGTAACCATTAAAAAGTGATGATACCAGACCTTCTCGAAAAGTTGTGTGTATCCTGCCCCACCGGTGGCTCCCACTGGCACCCTTGACGTTTGTGTGTGTGTGTGTGTGTGTGTGTGTGTGTGTGTGTGTGTGTGTGTGTGTGTGTGTCCATCTAGAACAGAAAGGTCAGTAGTTACATGGGACATGCAATCAGCAAGTTTAAGGATTCAAACAGTCATCTTCTCTTGCGTCAAACAGAACTCGCATTCGGAATATTTCGCGTCAAATCTCAATTTGTGTGTGTACACATGGTTTCTGGTGAACTGCGTCCTACAACAAAATAGGAGGTCAATAAAATTTCACAAAATCGAAGAAAAATTGATAACTTAAATGAAAACCCATCGTATCAAAGCTTTTGGTAGTCATGGCTAATCCCCTTAAGTGTTATGTCACTGAAATAGGTTCAGATTTTGTACTTCTCATCTGGTAATATAGTTTCACTTTGGGTTAAAGGTCTCTTGTTTCTAGCTCACCTGAATGAAAGTCAAGAGAGTTTATGTGATTGTCACATAATTAATCCAACACGCATCCGTCGTAAACAGTCGAGTGAGTTTATGTGAGCCTGTTTGTCTGGCGTCTGGTGTCAATCACGCGCCCGTCGTAAACTTCTCATAAACCACTGAATCAATGAACTCGACGCTTGTTCCCACCAATGATAACACCTTATTTGTTCAAGTGGTCGAATCAGATTTTCAATACGAGTTAGGCCACGTCACCACGGGGGCATAGGCGCCGCGATTCGCTGTGTAGAGTTGCGTCCCTTGGACACGCCAGAAACCTATGATTGTGGGTTCGAATCCCGGTTCGCCCCGATTACGTTTTTAGGTTTGGCAGCAGCACCATACCCGTGCTCGTGGGTTTCACCGAAGTGGTAAACGTCAGAGACCTGCATCACTTCGGGCTTTCCTCCCACATTAAGCTGACACGCCGTGATATAACTGGAATACTGTTAAAAGCGGCGTTAAACCCAACTCACTCGCCCCACGGCACTACAGTCGACGCCTGTGCTGGTCGTAAGAGTTTACTATTGGATCGGGTGGTCAGGCTCTGTAATATCAGTTACTGGATTGTCAGGTTCAGACTCGATTATTTACAAAAAAAATATTGCTGAA